GATAATAAAGAGTTGCAGTAATCCAGCCTTGAAGTAACAAATGCATGGATTAGTTTTTCTGCATCTGTCTGTGATAGTATGTGTCTCTGTAACTATATCTTTAGACAGTGAGTCTCTAAGGTTTTTGGGGCCAAGAACAAGAATTTCAGTTTTTTCTGAGTTTAACATCAGAAAATTGCAGGTCATCCAGGATTTTATGTCCTTAAGACATGTTTGTAATTTAGATAATTGATTAATTTCATCGGGCTTGATAGTTAGATATAACTGCGTATCATCTGCATAACAGTGAAGTTAATGGAATGATTCCTAATAATGTTGCCTAAAGGGAGCATATATAAAGTAAATAGTATTGGTCCAAGTACAGAACCTTGTGGAACTCCATGACTAACTGTAGTATTTATTGAAGATTCATCGTTAACATGTACAAACTGCGAACGATCTGATAAATATGACTTAAACCAGCTTAGTGCGGTTCCTTTAATGCCAATTAGATGGTCAAGTCTCTGTAAAAGAATATTATGGTCAATGGTGTCAAATGCAGCACTAAGATCTAATAATACAAGTACAGAGACAAGTCCATTGTCGGAAGCAATTAAAAGGTTGTTATTAACTTTAACCAGCGCTGACTCTGTGCTGTGATAACTCTAAATTCTGACTGACCTCAAATAAGCTGATGAATGAGATGTTAATGTATGTTAATATATGTTAATGTATGTTGTATGTATGTTCCATGATGACCCTTAACTTTAACCAGAGCTGTCTCTGTGCTATGATGAACTCTAAATCCTGACTGAAAATCCTCAAATAAACTATTGTTATGTAGAAAGTCACACAACTCTTTGGCGACTACTTTCTCCAGAATCTTAGAGAGGAAGGGGAGGTTAGAGATTGGTCTATAGTTGGCTAAAACCCCTGGGTCAAGAGTGGGCTTTTTAAGAAGGGGTTTAATTACAGCTACTTTAAAGGACTGTGGTACATGTCCTGATAATAAAGAAAGATTAATCATATCCAGTAAAGAAGTGCCAATTAAGGGAACAACTTCTTTAAGCAGCCTAGTCGGATTGGGTCTAATAGACAGGTTGATGGCTTCGATGAAGAAATGATTGAAGTTAACTGATGAAGATCGATAGCAGAAAAACAGTCTAAATATATATCTAAGTTTACATTAGTAAAAGTCCCTGAACTTGGAGAGCCACTGATAACTGTTGATGGCAGTTGGTGATTAATTTTCTCTCTAATAGTAATAATTTTATTATAGAAGAAGCTCATAAAGTCGTTGCTCCTTAAGTTTATGGGGATATGTGGCTCAATAGAGCTGTGGCTCTCTGTCAGCCTAGCTAGAGGGTTATTCTTATTTTCTTCTATTAGTGCTGAATAATAGGCTCCTCTGGCATTACGAAGGGCCTTTCTATAAGTTTTAAAATTGAGCGATATTCTGATAATTTGGAAGAGCGCCATTTCCTTTCAGATTTCCTAGCTATTTGCTTTAACTGGCGGGTTTGGTGGTTATACCAAGGTGCTAGTCTCCTATGTTTTAATAATTTCCTTTTTATAGGAGCGATAGAGTCTAATGTTGATCGTAGTGAGCCTGCAGCACTATCGACAAGATTATCAATTTCAGAGGGACTAAAGTCGTTATAGGACTCTGTTAAATTCAGACATGGCATTGAATTAAACACTGAAGGAATCTCCTCCTTAAATTTAGCTACAGCACTGTCAGATAGACATCTGCTGTAGGAAGTTTTGCCTAATGGCTTATAATCTAAGACATGGAGGCCTGTGAGGCTGAGTGGGGGTCTGCTCCTCTTAAACAGTGCAGTAAGAGGAGAAGCATGTTGACAGTGGAGGTCGGTGGTAACGCTGGATGTCTGGCAGGTAAACCGAGTGCTGCAGAGAACAGAGCAGCTCTATCTGACAGCAGTGACAGTGAAGGGTGTGTGTCTGACAGCAGTGACCTGTCTCACACTCAGCAGGCTGCTGCTCAGGTGTATCCTGCTAATATACTGCATTGTGTACAGTGTCTGTAAGTCTTTTTTACAACAGACCAAAGGGATGAGGAATTTAATGTTAGAACAGTACTTCCCTGATATGCAGGGTTTCTATAATTCAGCCAGGTATATTGTAAAACACAGAGCCGAGTCAGACCTGACAGACCAAGAAGTATTCAGACTGAAAAAACAGATGATTAAAGTCAGGAAACAATTCGTTCTTTAATGATGATGAAAGTACAGATTTTATTTTTATTTATTTCATTGATTGTTTTTAGTCTTGTTCTTAATATCTCCATCATTATGGATGTTTTTAAAGTAGGCAGTCTGAATGTCAATGGTGCCAGAGAAATAAGAAAGAGAGCAGTAGTGTTTGAAATGGCTAAAATGAAACATATTGATGTTCTGTTTCTACAAGAAACTCACAGTGATGTTGGAAACGAGGCAGACTGGAGCAGAGAATGGGAAGGAGAACTGATTTTAAGCCATAACACCACCCTCAGTGGAGGAGTGGGCTTCCTGTTCTCCAGAGGTTTTACTCCAACCTCTCTGGAGGTCAGGCATGTTGTGGAGGGGAGGTGTCTTTCAGTCAGAGCTCGTTTTGAACATTTTAATGTGGTTTTTATCAACATTTATGCTCCAAACAACGGTGCAGAGAGGAAACACTTCTTTGAAAATATGAATGATATTTTAAACAGCTGTGGCCCGGAGGATTATTTATTTGTGGGTGGGGATTTTAATTGTACTGAAAATGAGATTTTAGATCGCAACCATGCAGAGCCTCATCCAGTATCCCAGCATGCCTTGAGGCAGCTGGTCTCCTCCCATGACCTGGTGGACGTGTGGAGTTAGTGAAAACAGAATTTCTTTGGCCAGACTTGATCGTTTTTATGTTTTTAAGCACAGAGTCGGTGTTGTAAAAATGTGTAGGATTTTACCAGTTGGTTTACTGATCATTCTTTGGTTGCATGTAACTTTTTTATCAGAAACATTTTACCCAAAAGCGCCTATTGGCATTTTAACTCTGCTTTAACTGTTGATAAATCTTTCAAGGAGGCTTTAAGCTTTTTGGAACGATTTCAGAGGAGTTTGTCAGTCTGAGGCAGTGGTGGGACCATGGAAAGGTTCAAATAAAATTTTTATGTCAGCAGCACACACTCAATGTCACACGTGACATCACCAGATCTATCAGAGATCTGGTGACTGATATTGTGGATCTCGAGTGTACAAGTGAGTCCACAGGAAATCGAGGATATATTGAAATGCTCAAGACTAAAAAGATGGCTTTAGCCAACCTGCTGGACACTAAAGTACAGGTTGCGCTGGTCCGGTCCCGGATTCAAAACATCACGGAGATGTCACAAATGTCTTTTAGAGGGAGGGTCCTAATCTTAAATAACCTGGTGGCCTCCCTGTTATGGCACCGGTTAGCCTGTCTGGACCCTCAAATCCTATTGCTCAGATTCAAGCAAAGATTGTCAATTTCTTCTGGAACAAATTGCACTGGATACCACAATGGTTGCCTCCTTTTTATCAGGGTGTTTTTAAATCCTGGGGGCTTTTTAAATCTAAAAGAAGTGAGAAGTGTAACTCTCTGCACTGGTTGTTGAAGGAGCCTCTAATCTGTGGTGCAAAGATGGACGTGTGCTGCAGCACCGTGCCTGGGCTGATGGGGGTGCTGTGCAGCTCAAGAGTTGTCTGCCTCAAACAACTGATAGATGCAGCAGGACCAGAGCTCACAGATGTCCACTCTCTGGGCTCTGTGCTGGGGGTGCGTTCTGTCCGGCTGACGCAGAGGAGCCTAGAGCTCTGGAGGAGGAGGCTGACGGAGAAGGAGAGAATCCTTCTCCTCAAATACGGCAGGGGAGAGGCTGAGCCGGACCCCACAGACCCTTATCCCGAGATCTACTTGTGCCCTGGTTTCACAGAGCTCAGCGGCCCCCCTCCTGAGACACAATGATGGGAGTACATTGAGCCTACACAAGGCTGATAAAAAAACTCTGTACACAAACTGTGTAAAAACTATCCACAAAACTCGCCTGTGTGACAGAGCGCAGTGTGTGTGGACTGAGAGGCTGGGTGGGCTGAGCCCCCAGTGGAGAACATTGTACAAACCTCCTCTAAAAAAAAGAACTGGAGATCTCCAGTGGAGGATTTTACATGGTGCCATTGCCACCAATGCCTTTTTATCTGTTCTTAATCACAGTGTTGTAAAGGAGTGCCCATTCTGTGGACTGACTGAGAACATTTTCCATGTTTTTACTGAGTGCAGGAGATTGGCAGACATTTTTAACGTTTTAACTCGTGTTTTTAATCTATTTGGTGTCATTTTTACTGCCCCTGTTTTTATTTGTGGAGTTGGTTTTAAAAAAACAGAAAAAGTAAAGTGTCGACTCCTAAACTTTTTAATTGGTGAGGCTAAAATGTCGATATACCTGACTCGTAGGGACAGACTGCAGGGTGGGCCGACCCTTGACCCTGTGACCCTGTGGAGGTACAATGTGAAGGCCAGACTGAGGCTGGAGTTTTGCTTCCACAGGGTCACAGGGAATACAGATGTGTTTGAGCAGCAGTGGGCTCATGAGGAGCTGTTGTGCCGGGTGACCGGTGGACAGTTAAAGTTCACATCCTTCCTCAACTGATCTATTGATTGTGGAACTGATTGTTTGTTTTAAGCTGACTGTAAATAAAGTGTTGTTTAAAAATCACTCTTTCTTTTTTTAAAGTATTTTTTTTGGCTTTTATTTGATAGGACAGCTGAAGACAGACGGGAAGGGGGGCAGAGAGAGAGAGGGGATGACACGCAGCAAAGGGCCAGGGATCGGGCTCAAACCCAGAACCGCTGCAGCCTCGGTACATGGGTCACCTGCTCTACCCACTGAGCTAACCGGCGCACTATGGCTCTAGCTTTAATAACGTTTATTGTTATGTTGTTGTTGTTTTATTTTTGTATATTTTGTTTTGATCAGGAATCTGTTGGTTCGGTCTGATCGGGAATCTGTTGGTTCGGTCTGATCGGGAATCTGTTGGTTCGGTCTGATCGGGAATCTGTTGGTTCGGTCTGTCAGATCCAATATGGCGGCCTCCTCAGCTTCACGTGAACTATTCACGGAGGGAGTCCGAGCGGTTCTGAGCAGCTGGCCGGTTCTCCAGGTAGATATAACGACAGACAGCCACACAGACAGACAGAGAGACACACAGACAGACAGACAGACAGACACACAGACAGACAGACAGACAGACAGACAGACAGACAGACAGACAGACAGACAGACAGACAGACAGACAGACAGACAGACAGACAATCACCGAGGAACACACGAGACTAAGCTAACAGGCTAAAGCTAACAGGCTAAAGAAGCCTCGTTCCGAGTGAAGCTGCTGTTTGTAAACATTGTTTGTTTGTTTATAAACAGTGTTTGTAAACATTGTTTGTTTGTTTATAAACAGTGTTTGTTGGTAAACATTGTTTGTTTGTTTATAAACAGTGTTTGTTTGTAAACAGTGTTTCCGTTGTAGAGGGGAAGAAGACAGAGAACAACTCTACTATAATTTAATAATAATAATAAATCAGTGTGTGTGTGTATAGTGTGTGTATATAGTGTGTGTTAGTGTGTGTATAGTGTGTATATAGTGTGTGTTAGTGTGTGTATAGTGTGTATATAGTGTGTGTTAGTGTGTGTATAGTGTGTATATAGTGTGTGTTAGTGTGTATATAGTGTGTGTTAGTGTGTATATAGTGTGTGTTAGAGTGTATATAGTGTGTGTTAGAGTGTGTATAGTGTATATAGTGTGTGTTAGTGTGTGTATAGTGTGTGTTAGTGTGTGTTAGTGTGTGTATAGTGTGTATATAGTGTGTGTTAGTGTGTGTTAGTGTGTGTATAGTGTGTGTTAGTGTGTGTATAGTGTGTGTTAGTGTGTGTATATAGTGTGTGTTAGTGTGTGTATAGTGTGTGTTAGTGTGTATATAGTGTGTGTTAGTGTGTGTTAGTGTGTGTATATAGTGTGTGTTAGTGTGTGTTAGTGTGTGTTAGTGTGTATATAGTGTGTGTTAGTGTGTGTTAGTGTGTGTTAGTGTGTGTATAGTGTGTATATAGTGTGTGTTAGTGTGTGTTAGTGTGTGTTAGTGTGTGTATAGTGTGTGTTAGTGTGTATATAGTGTGTGTTAGTGTGTGTATATAGTGTGTGTTAGTGTGTGTATAGTGTGTGTATAGTGTGTATATAGTGTGTGTTAGTGTGTGTTAGTGTGTGTTAGTGTGTGTATATAGTGTGTGTTAGTGTGTATATAGTGTGTGTTAGTGTGTGTTAGTGTGTGTTAGTGTGTGTTAGTGTGTATATAGTGTGTATATAGTGTGTGTTAGTGTGTGTTAGTGTGTGTTAGTGTGTATATAGTGTGTGTTAGTGTGTGTTAGTGTGTGTTAGTGTGTGTATAGTGTGTGTATAGTGTGTGTTAGTGTGTGTATATAGTGTGTATAGTGTGTATAGTGTGTGTATATAGTGTGTATAGTGTGTGTAAGTGTGTGTTAGTGTGTCTTAGTGTGTATATAGTGTGTGTTAGTGTGTGTTAGTGTGTGTATATAGTGTTTATATAGTGTATATAGTGTGTGTTACAGTGTGTGTATATAGTGTGTGTTAGTGTGTGTATATAGTGTGTGTTAGTGTGTGTTAGTGTGTATATAGTGTGTATATAGTGTGTATATAGTATGTGTTAGTGTGTGTTAGTGTGTGTTAGTGTGTATATAGTGTGTGTTAGTGTGTGTACAGTGTGTGTTAGTGTGTGTTAGTGTGTATACAGTGTGTTACAGTGTGTATACAGTGTGTATACAGTGTGTGTTAGTGTGTATATAGTGTGTGTTAGTGTGTATTACAGTGTGTATTACAGTGTGTGTATAGTGTGTGTATAGTGTGTGTATACAGTGTGTTACAGTGTGTATACAGTGTGTGTTACAGTGTGTATATACAGTGTGTTACAGTGTGTGTTACAGTGTGTGTTACAGTGTGTGTATACAGTGTGTATATAGTGTGTGTTACGGTGTGTATATACAGTGTGTTACGGTGTGTGTTACAGTGTGTTACAGTGTGTTACAGTGTGTGTATACAGTGTGTTACAGTGTGTGTATACAGTGTGTTATAGTGTGTGTATACAGTGTGTTACAGTGTGTTACAGTGTGTTACAGTGTGTGTATACAGTGTGTTACAGTGTGTGTATACAGTGTGTTATAGTGTGTGTATACAGTGTGTTACAGTGTGTTACAGTGTGTTACAGTGTGTGTATACAGTGTGTTACAGTGTGTGTGTACAGTGTGTGTATACAGGTATGTATACAGTGTGTATACAGTGTGTGTATACAGTGTGTGTGTACAATTTGTTACAGTGTGTGTACAGTGTGTTACAGTGTGTGTGTACAGTGTGTTATAGTGTGTGTACAGTGTGTTACAGTGTGTGTGTACAGTGTGTTACAGTGTGTGTGTACAGTGTGTATACAGTGTGTATACAATTTGTTACAGTGTGTGTGTACAGTGTGTGTATACAGTGTGTATACAGTGTGTGTACAATTTGTTACAGTGTGTGTGTACAGTGTGTGTATACAGTGTGTGTACAGTGTGTGTATACAGTGTGTGTGTACAGTGTGTTACAGTGTGTGTGTACAGTGTGTTACAGTGTGTGTATACAGTGTGTGTGTATATACAGTGTGTGTGTATACAGTGTGTGTGTGTACAGTGTGTGTGTATACAGTGTGTGTTTACAGTGTGTTACAGTGTGTGTATACAGTGTGTGTGTACAGTGTGTGTGTATACAGTGTGTGTGTACAGTGTGTTACAGTGTGTGTATACAGTGTGTGTGTACAGTGTGTTACAGTGTGTGTGTACAGTGTGTTATAGTGTGTATACAGTGTGTTACAGTGTGTGTTACAGTGTGTATACAGTGTGTGTATACAGTGTGTTACAGTGTGTGTGTACAGTGTGTTACAGTGTGTATACAGTGTGTGTGTACAGTGTGTTACAGTGTGTGTGTACAGTGTGTTATAGTGTGTATACAGTGTGTGTGTACAGTGTGTATACAGTGTGTGTGTACAGTGTGTTACAGTGTGTGTGTACAGTGTGTTATAGTGTGTATACAGTGTGTTATAGTGTGTATACAGTGTGTTACAGTGTGTGTATACTGTGTGTGTACAGTGTGTTACAGTGTGTGTGTACAGTGTGTGTATACAGTGTGTATACAGTGTGTGTACAGTGTGTGTGTGTACAGTGTGTATACAGTGTGTGTACAGTGTGTATACAGTGTGTCATAGTGTGTGTGTACAGTGTGTTACAGTGTGTGTGTACAGTGTGTTACAGTGTGTATACAGTGTGTGTGTACAGTGTGTTACAGTGTGTGTGTACAGTGTGTTATAGTGTGTATACAGTGTGTGTGTGTACAGTGTGTATACAGTGTGTGTACAGTGTGTATACAGTGTGTTACAGTGTGTGTGTACAGTGTGTTACAGTGTGTGTGTACAGTGTGTTACAGTGTGTGTGTACAGTGTGTTACAGTGTGTGTGTACAGTGTGTTACAGTGTGTGTACAGTGTGTGTGTACAGTGTGTTACAGTGTGTGTGTACAGTGTGTTATAGTGTGTATACAGTGTGTGTGTATAGTGTGTTACAGTGTGTGTGTACAGTGTGTTATAGTGTGTATACAGTGTGTGTACAGTGTGTGTATACAGTGTGTATACAGTGTGTGTACAGTGTGTGTGTGTACAGTGTGTGTGTACAGTGTGTTACAGTGTGTGTGTACAGTGTGTTATAGTGTGTATACAGTGTGTGTGTATAGTGTGTTACAGTGTGTGTGTACAGTGTGTTATAGTGTGTATACAGTGTGTGTACAGTGTGTGTACAGTGTGTGTGTGTACAGTGTGTATACAGTGTGTCATAGTGTGATGGGGCCAGCTGTTAAACGGCCGATGACTGTTGTGTTGTGTGCGAACTTCAGGAGTTTGACAGACTGGTCTCTCGAGGTGCAATCATTGGTGTAGAGGGAGAGGAGCAGTGGGGAGAGCACACACCCCTGGGGGGCGCCAGTGCTAATTGTCTGGGTGCTGGGTGTGATGTTCCCCAGCCTCACGAGCTGCCTCCTGTCAGTCAGGGAGTCTGTAATCCACAGACAGGTGGAGGCTGGCACAGTGAGCTGGGTGTGGTTGATGTGGAGGATGTTCAGGATGATGGTGTTAAGTCCACAAACAGGATCCTTGCATATGTTCCTGGAGGGTCCAGGTGTTACAGGATGTGGTGCAGTCCCATGTTGACTACGTCATCCACTGACCTGTTTGCTTGGTAGGCAAACTGCAGGGGGTCCAGCCAGGGGCCTGTAATGTCCTTCAGGTGGGCCAGCACCAGTCTTTCAAAGGACTTCATGACTACAGAAGGTCAAAGGTCATAGGCTCTGAGGGACGACAGCAAATGTGTGTCTGTATTATAGTCCAATGACTTTATCTGTATATTGTTGGTAGTTTGACCATGTAAATGTTAGCTTTAACAATGATTGACTTCAGATCAGTGGATAACGGGTTCTATAATATATGATGGATTATTATATTTATATTGTATTTATATTTATATTGTGTGTTTCAGATCGCTGTGGATAATGGGTTTGGAGGCGTGTATGGGCAGCAGAAAGCTGATTGGATGGTGGATGTGGTCCAACAGTATTTCCATGACAATGGTAGGTAACCATGGTAACCTGTCAACTGAAAGCAGGTGTTTATTGTTGTTTCTCTCCTCTGTCTCTCCTGTAACAGATGGAACTGACTGAGCACTAACAGACGGTACTGAGCACTGACAGACGGTACTGAGCACTGACAGACGGTACTGAGCACTGACAGACGGTACTGAGCACAGACAGACGGTACTGAGCACTGACAGACGGTACTGAGCACTGACAGACGGTACTGAGCATTAACAGACGGTACTGAGCACTGACAGACGGTACTGAGCACTGACAGACGGTACTGAGCACAGACAGACGGTACTGAGCACTGACAGACGGTACTGAGCACTGACAGACGGTACTGAGCACTGACAGACGGTACTGAGCACTGACAGACGGTACTGAGCACAGACAGACGGTACTGAGCACTGACAGACAGTACTGAGACTCTTCAAGTTGGAAAGAAAAACTGCCTTCAGTCTAAATGAACTGTGTGTCACATTATTGATCATATTGATATGTAACTGCTGCATGTGTGTGTATGTGTGAGATCAGCTGACTTGCAGCAGTACGAGGTCGAGGACTTCATTGCTCAACTGATGGATCAGGAGTTTGACACAGTGGTGGATGATGGGAGTTTACCTCAGGTACACACACATACATATACACACAATAAGAAGTCATTTGGTATGGCTATTTGTTAAACAAAGCATACAAAGTATGATCTTGTTTTTATTCAAGTCATCCATGAATGGTCTCTCGCAACCGTCACACACTTTTGCATGTGAAAGTCCAAAAGAGCCGAGATTGTAAGAAGCAGTATGGTTTTATCCCCGTTGGAGCGTCACTCTAACACAGTTACACATTCCTGAGTTCTGGGACAGTAAACAGACTGATCAATAACTCACTGATCAATAAATGATCATATATAAATGTGGTGAGATGATCATGTCTTTGGCTTCTTAGTGAAGTCTCAACATCCCGCTGTTTACTTGGACATAGAGTGTAGTTAGAAACGGGGCTAAAGGTTGTATGCATATAAAAGCCTCTTTAACAGTTGCGTATGGTTTTACAATGAACAGGTCAAATTCAATTCAATTTTATTTGTATAGCACCAATTCATAACAGAAGTTATCTCAGGACACTTTTCAAATAGAGCAGGTCTAGACCGAACTCTTTAAAACATTAATTACAGAGACCCAACAGTACCACCATGAGCAAGACCTTGGAGACAAGGGCAAGGAAACACTGCCTGTTAAAAGGCAGAAACCTAGGACAGATCCTCCGGCTCTAGGTGGGTGGGAGAGAGAGAGACAGAGACAGGAGCTCAGTGCACCATGGGAAATCCCCCGATAGTCTAGGCCTATAGCAGCATAACTAAGGGATGGTTCAGGACTCACCTGATCCAGCCCTAACTATAAGCTTTATCAAAGAGGAATGTCTTAAGCCTACTCTTAAATATGGAGAGGGTGTCTGCCTCCTGAACCAAAATGAAGGGGTTGTATAGGTTCTTAAAAATTGCCATTACAGCAACAAGTACAAAACCAGTAGGAAACCAGATGGAAACCAGTTGGAAACCAGTAAGTAAGTATTCAATACAGAGTGAATCTATAATATCTGATCAATGACATGAGCTGATCAGGCAGAGATTGATATGAATTATTGATCAGTTGATCGATGAGTACTGTTTCAGATCAGAGAGAGACAGAATGAGTCGAGTGTTGTCTGCATAACTGTAGTTGATATAGAGAACAGAGGACCCAGAACGGAACCCTGAGGAACCCTGAGGCTACAGGTCCTCTGTGATGTCACATGTTAATCCTGTGTGATGTCACTGTGTGTGTCTCCAGGTGTCGGTCAGTTTGCTGCAGGTGTTCACTCAGTGGCAGCAGGGAGCGCTGCAGCAGCTCAAACACACCATCAGCTCTCTGACACAGAAGACGAGTCAGAGGGCAAAGGTCACGGCTCCGCCCGCACAGTCTGACGACAGCGATGATGACACACAGGTACTTTTCACATACAGAGCTGTGATTGGTCAGTCTGATCTGATCACTGGTGGTACTACTGAGTACTTTATTATTATACTAATAATTATTATACTGCAGTATAAATTAGTAAACTAATAATATCTGGTATACAAGTACTTTTACTTCCCGTACTTCTGTTCCTTTACGTAGTCGAGGTTCTGAATACAGAGTATTTGTGGGGGAAATTGGGGATGGGGGAGTTGGTGGTGGGCGTGGTCACTTACTGTGTGTGAGGATGATGAGCGTCACGTGTGTTCCAGTCATTTCAAAATCTTTATTATATAATTTATACTTTATTAGATATTTTTATCATAAGTTTCTCCCTCAGCTTTACAGTCTGTTATTTCTTACAATAATATTCATCGGTCAATAATAATAGATAATACATATTTCACACAAATGAAAAGGACATTTTTAATAACTAAAAGCAGGAATTACAGTTTACAGCAGTGATTTAATCCAAGTATTTTCAAAAAGTGAGTATTTATCTAGTAGAATTCATTTAGACTAATTATATTATATTACTGCTGCTGATGAAGTGCGCAGTAATATTACTGATGATGAAGTACGCAGTAATATTTCTGATGAAGTACGCTGATGAAGTACGCAGTAATATTTCTAATGATGAAGTACGCTGATGAAGTACGCAGTAATATTACTGATGATGAAGTACGCAGTAATATTACTGATGATGAAGTACGCAGTAATATTACTGATGATGAAGTACGCAGTAATATTTCTGATGATGAAGTACGCAGTAATATTTCTGATGATGAAGTACGCTGATGAAGTACGCAGTAATATTACTGATGATGAAGTACGCAGTAATATTTCTGATGATGAAGTACGCTGATGAAGTACGCAGTAATATTTCTAATGATGAAGTACGGATGTGTTTGTGTGTTCAGGCGATGGAGTGTGAATCTTCCAGTCCATCAGTCAGCAGGACAGATCCTCCTCCTCAGGATGAAGAGGATGGGTGGACGGTGGTTCGTAAGAAGAAGTGAAGAGGAGGATGAAGAGCAGTATGAACTGTTGAAGCAGCTGACCTTTGACCTTCAGGATGGGACTGTGTGTGTTTTTATATTAAAACTGTTCAAGATGCTGCTGTGTCCTGTGTGATGTCATCATACTGCACTTTGACATCACACAACAATTAGCGCTCACGCTATATACTATACTATGTCATCATGTCCTGTTCATCCAGGAGTGAAGTGGTCAAAGGTCACAGGTTAAAGATCAAAGGGAACATCTGAGACAAGCTTTAATTCATCTTTATTTTCACAGAAGAAACATTCCACACAGACGGACACGTACAAAAATCTTTATGTCTCTGGTGATGTCACTGTGACAGGCAGGAAGGAGCGGGGTCAGGGGTCATTTTCAAGGCACTATTATATGAACATAGAAACAGGTCAGAGGTCATCTAAGGACGACTCACTTTGAGCTACAGAGAGCAATACTGTTGTCATCGGAGTCTGAGGGGGTCGGCTACAGTGTGCTCGTCTAAACCAAAACTCATCATTAGGAGTCTTTGATCAATAATCAATAAGATTTCATAAAGGGACAGCAGGAAGTGAATTCAGAAATAAACAATCTGTAAAATTCAATAAAAATAGAAACAAAAAGAAAGAAAGATTTGTGCCGGAGGGAAATTAAACCTCGACTGAATGAACCAGAACCTGAACCAGAACCTAAACCTGATCTACATGTGACAGAGTGCAGGTCAAAGGTCAGCAGGGAGGAGACGACCCAGGCTGAACCCTTTGTTTAGGACCCTGATAGACCTGCTCACAGGTCTACTTTGAACATGAAATGATATGCAGGTATACAAATAGTGTTATAAGAGTTCGGTCTAGACCTGCTCTATTTGAAAAGTGTCCTGAGATAACTTCTGTTATGAATCAGAGCTTCACAAATAAAACTGAATTGAAATGAATTAAAAATGTAATATTTGTGAGGTGTTTTGAAGGTTTTACATCTGCAGGATGAAGCTCTAGAAAAAATAAAACACAGTTTCATTTGAATATGATTAAGTTCATTATTGAAAAGGTAGTACTATAAAGACAGTATAATACTGTAGTATAATACTGTCTTTATAGTACTACAGTATAATACTGTCGTATAATACTGTAGTACTATAAAGACAGTATAATACTGTAGTATAATACTGTAGTACTATAAAGACAGTTTAATACTGTAGTACTATAAAGACAATATAATACTGTAGTACTGTAAAGACAGTATAATACTGTAGTACTATAAAGACAGTATAATACTGTCGTATAATACTGTAGTACTATAAAGACAGTTTAATACTGTAGTACTATAAAGACAATATAATACTGTAGTACTGTAAAGACAGTATAATACTGTAGTATTATAATACTGTAGTACTATAAAGACAGTTTAATACTGTAGTACTATAAGACATTATATACTGTATACTGTAGTATTATAAAGACGTTAGTATAATACTGTAGTATTATAATACTGTAGTACTATAAAGACAGTTTAATACTGTAGTACTATAAAGACAGTATAATACTGTAGTATTAGACTATTGTAGTATAATACTGTAGTACTATAAAGACAGTTTAATTCTTAAAGACAGTATATACTGTAGTATTATAATACTGTAGTACTATAAAGACAGTTTAATACTGTAGTACTATAAAGACAGTATAATACTGTAGTATAATACTGTAGTACTATAAAGATTAATACTTAGTACTTAAAGACTAAACAGTATAATACTGTGTTAAAATATAATACTGTCGTATAATACTGTAGTACTATAAAGACAGTTTAATACTGTAGTACTATAAAGACAATATAATACTGTAGTACTGTAAAGACAGTATAATACTGTAGTATTATAATACTGTAGTACTATAAAGACAGTTTAATACTGTAGTACTATAAAGACAGTATAATACTGTCGTAATATAATACTGTAGTACTATAAAGACAGTATAATACTGTAGTATTATAATACTGTAGTACTATAAAGACAGTATAATACTGTCGTAATATAATACTGTAGTACTATAAAGACAGTATAATACTGTAGTATTATAATACTGTAGTACTATAAAGACAGTTTAATACTGTAGTACTATAAAGACAGTATAATACTGTCATACTATAATACTGTAGTACTATAAAGACAGTATAATACTGTCATACTATAATACTGTAGTACTATAAAGACAGTTTAATACTGTAGTACTATAAAGACAATATAATACTGTAGTATTATAATACTGTAGTACTATAAAGACAGTTTAATACTGTAGTACTATAAAGACAGTATAATTTTATATACTGTAAAGACAGTATAATACTGTAGTATTATAATACTGTAGTACTATAAAGACAGTATAATACTGTTTCTAGTACTATAATACTGTAGTACTATAAAGACAGTATAATACTGTCGTAATATAATACTGTAGTACTATAAAGACAGTATAATACTGTAGTATTTTTATAAAGACAGTATAATACTGTATATACGTAGTACTATAAAGACAGTATAATACTGTCGTAATATAATACTGTAGTACTATAAAGACAGTATAATACTGTCGTAATATAATACTGTAGTACTATAAAGACAGTATAATACTGTCATACTATAATACTGTAGTACTATAAAGACAGTATAATACTGTAGTATTATAATACTGTAGTACTATAAAGACAGTTTAATTTTTTTTAAAAAGACAGTTTTTCTGTGTGTTGAACAACCATATTGCTGTTTAACAGGTTATAATCAATACAGTTATATCTAAATTGTCTGACAGTCCATTATTGGCATTATCTAATGACTGCTAGTTGACTAGGAAGATCTTTAGGGCAGAACTGTAAAACTATAAAGATAGTATGGAGTCGTCTGCAAATAAAGAACTAAAATTATGTCACATGAACATGAACTGTAGCGCTGATATAAATTAAGAAGAACAGGTGTCCTAACATTGATCCCTGAGGAACTCCTGATTGACCACTCTATACTGAACCTCAGAATAACTCCAGATTATAATTTCACTGACGCATCAGAGGGATGTTTGGATTCAGCCTGAATGGGACACTCCTCCTGTCAATCAATTAGTCAATCAGTCAGTCAGTTCAGGAACCAGCTGTCAGACAGTCAAGTGATAATTTCCAACAACACATGAACTTAACACTGACAGTGAGACACCTTTAAGGACACATTCACAGTCAATGCTCATAAAATCTTCAGCTGGAAAACGTCAGTAAACTTTGACCTCAAACCAACAGCAGGAGGATTGTGGTTGATCCCGAAAACAGATTACAGACCAGCAAACTGATTCCTGTGTGTGTGTGAGACCCCCAACAGTCCCCAACACAATGTGTGTCTCACTGAGTGTGTTCATGTGTATCAGTACATATCCATTGATCAGCACTAACACAGTGAGCACTGTCAGTAACACTGATTACCTGGGTATCAGGGCTCTTGTCGGGGGGGGGTATATCAGGCAGACAGTGAACAGAGTTGATGTGTTAGAAGCAGGAAAAATGGGCAGCGTGAGGATCTGATCCACTTTGACAAGAACCACATTGTGATGGACGACTGGGTCAGAACATCTCCAAAGCTGCAGCTCTTGTGGGGGGTTCCCGGTCTGCAGAGGTCAGTACCTATCAGAAGTGGTCCAAGTAAGGAACAGAACCAGAGACAGGGTCATGGGGGACCGAGGCTCATTGATTAAGGTGGGGAGTGAAGGCTGGCCCATGTGGTCCGATCCAACAGACGAGCTACTGTAGCTCAAACTGCTGAAACACTAAATGCTGGTTCTGATAGAAAGGGGTCAGAACACAGTGCAGAGTAGTCTGTTGGCTAGGGACCAGTCAGGTCACAGTGTTACTGCTGATCAGTAGATATTAGTCATTCGCTGTGTTGGTAATCACACACTAACATACTTCATAGTACTCAGTATAAGCTTTTAAATGTCTGTTTTATTTTTAGTTCTGTTTCGCTCTGTCTCAGAGAAACAACGTCAGCAACTCCAATCTACGGTCAAACTAAGTGCAGTCACTGCGGCTTCAGTGTCTGTAAATCCTGAATTCTGTAATTCTGAATTTCAGGACTATGTGGGAATTAAAACAAAGGGAATCTTCATGTTCTCCACTGAGAACTCTTACTGACTCCATCTGTGGATTATTAGCTGAGCTCAGTGGAGCAGATAGTGATAATAGTTCATATATTAGTGCGCTGGTGCTAGCTACAAAGGACAGACAGACAGTTCACAATTAAAATAAATGTGTCGTAGGTTAAACCGCACAGAATAATACATATGCTATTATTATACTACCCGCTCTATCTATGATGTTAATATTGATCTTTATTGCAGCTCGTAATCAATCTGCACAGCGTTGTGATAAAGTCCTGTGATACAAACTCCAGTAGGAACAGTCTGCACACTTCATTTAGTACAACGTGTGCAGTACATACTGAGTATGTAGTACGTTAGTGTGTGATTTCTAACAGTCAGTGTATGTATAAGTGTGTGTATATCAGTGTGTATATCAGTGTACATAGTGAGTGTCTATGTGTTGAGCCAGGCGTGCTGCAGACACTGGGCTGCGGTCGCTCTGCGGTCCGGCTGCAGCTCCAACATGGTCAACAGGAAGTCACTGAACTGAGCCGCCTGATCCAACGGCCACTCGTACTTCTCCAACAGAACCTCGAACAGACCCCACGGCTTTAGACTGGAGATGTGCCGTAGCTCACCTGAGACAGGCAGTGAGACAGACAGGTAGTGAGACAGACAGAGACATAAAAACTAAAGGAGGGAAGTCAACTACGACTCCCAGGGTGCATTTCACTAACAGCCAATGACATTGACATTTGTACAGTGTCTCACACCTCTCCATGGCAACAGCAGCTGATGCTCATGGGTATGTATACAGACAGAAAGACAGACAGACAGACTGTCTCACCTCTCCTGTTGAAGTACTCTCTGGAGTACCTGCCAGACAGAGCGAAGGGCAGAGGGATCGGGCCGAGCAGCTCGATGATGTGAGCGATGTGATCTGAACAAACACAGTAAAAGTACACAGTGAAGTACACAGTGAAGTACAGTAGTGAAGTACAGTAGTGTAGTACTACACTATACTGTACTAGTGTATAAGGTACCTTCATCTCTGGTGTAATCTTCTCCTGAATGAGGTTCAAACAGATAATCTCCTGTCGCCAACTCAAACGCCTGAAACATCAATCAGTAAACAATACATCAGTAAGTCAAATAGATCAATAAATTCTTAGATCAATATCAATCAATCAATCAGTCGAAGTATCAATACTGTATTAATTGTACAATGATAAAAACAAACAATCAGAACAACATCGTGATCTGTTGATGTATTGATGTACTGATGTATTGATCAGTGTGTACCATGCAGGCAGTGCTCCAGATGTCGGCGGGGGGCCCATACTCTGCTCCAATCAGAACCTCCAGAGCTCGGTACTGTCGGGTCTGAATGTCTTCAGTGAAGTGTTTGTGCTGGACGAGACACAGAGAGAGAGAGGCGTCTGATTGGTGGACAATGACACTGTACAGAGGAAGAGGAGGAGATGATCAAGATGTCTCACCACCCAGCATGCATTTCCCAGATCAGCAATCTTCACTCTGAGTTTGTGAGCATTGAGAGGATCCAGAGGACTGAGGACGAAGTCTGAGGCACTGAACACTGAAACACACACATTATTATTATTATTATTATTATTATTATTATTGTTATTATTATTCATTAAGACGTTCTTCGTCCTGCTGTCACACAAAGATCTACACATCATCATCACTTTTTATCTGCTTTTACATTTATTCATTGTTTTAAACACAAATAAATGAATTAGCTTCTCTATGTAACTGTCATTAAACTGTAGTTACAGCACCGCCAGTGGTCGTTCAGTGAACTGTAGTCAGTGTCCTGTTGATTCTACTGCTATGCTTTTTATTATGCTACTGCTTTTATTAGCTAGCTAGCAATTCATCAACAAGCAAGCTAACGTTATTCAGCTAAAAGCAGTCAGACAATATGTTCCACTAGCTTAGCAGTAATGTTAGCTTTGACTTTGGACTCTGTGTTGGACTCTGTGTTGTGGACTCTGTGTTGGACTCTGTGTTGTGGACTCTGTGTTGGACTCTGTGTTGTGGACTCGTGTGGCTTGTTTGGTCGTTTGTAGACGTTAGCGGACTCCATTTATAAACTAATGTCAGCTAGTGTTGCCCACTGTTGGCACTGTAGGGAAGCGGAGAGAGAAGGCACTCGGGAGCATAAAGGTCACAACCTTTGACCCTCATCCCTACATAGAGACACATAGAGATCAGTCCACAGGCAGCAGAGGAACAAAGCTACACTACAACCCGTTCACTCTCTGCTCACACACACTGATTATTACATAAAAATAAAACATATAGAAGCTTTAATATTTGGGCTGGTTCTCACCATCTCGTCCACTCGAGTATCCTGACTGAGTAGAAAGTGCTGACTCCGACGTTGCTGACAACACAGAGCTGGAGAACCCTGACAGTCCGGAGGCAGGGCTGGAGAACCGTCCAGGGGCCTGGCCATTACACTTTTCCTCCAACCAGGAGCAGGTGGACTCTGGGCTCGCTTTGCTATTTGCTGTGGAGCAGGAAGTGTTGCCGTTGACGACCAAAGAGCCTGAGAAGAAGGGAGAAATTTATTTTTTACAGTGTAAATGAAGTATTGTATTGTAGTAACATTTTCTAATTTACCACTGTATACTGCAGTACTGACACTCACAGTTACTGTCTGTGTCCTCAGGTTGCAACAACATCCCGTCTTCCTCCTCCAACCTCTGAACACATGAAAACATTTATTATTATTTTATACTTCCTGTTTTAAGTAGTAATAAGTCAGTGACGGTGGTAGTTGTACAGGATGTAATATTACAGTAGCATTATAAATGGTAAATGGACGGTACTTATATAGCTGTATTCTACAGCCACACTCAACCCATTCGCACACATTTATACACTGATGGATGCCATGCAATGTGCCAACTGCTCACTCAATGCACAGCGTCAGGAGAAATTTGGGGTTCAGTATCTTGCTCAAGGACACTTCGATATTCAGCGAGAGGAGATGGGAGATTGAACCAACGACCTTCCAATTAGTGGAAGACCATAGAGCGGGACCCGCTCTACCTCTGAGCCACGGCTACTTATAGTTATATAAGTTTTATAACTAGTTTCAGAAACAAAGACCATGCCTCAAACTCTGCACAAAAAGTACCTAAGCACACCACCTCCATTCACTCCCTCTTTGACTCAAATAATGGACCCCAAGCTTTTTCTAAACCCTTCAGACAACGATCTGCTTGAGGAAGATTCGCAAACTCCCAAAATTCATCTCAATCACCTTTAATTCCTCCTTGTCAGCTACTTTGGTTGCACTCAACAGTCCATTCACCAACGCTCCCAGCTTTCATTCTCAGACAACTCCAACATCATCGGGCTTTGGCCCCCCAGCAGCTGGGTAAGACCCCACGGCCCAGCCTTCCACATCAGCCAGGTTTGTATCGAACCCAGTACCTGCCCTCCCTGCTTCTCATCCATCCCCAAGCACATGCATCACTCATCCCAGCATCATTTCCTCTTTTCTTGCTTCTAACTTTCCTATCCCATCTTTTTTGGCCACCTCAGCTCCTCCCATCTCAATACCGGCCGTCACAGCTACACAACAGCAATCCATAGTGTTGCTAGCAGCAGCTAGCCAAAACCCTCTGTTTCCTCTTGTTTCTTCTTTTCCCCCTCCCTTGCGTTTTGGTGGTAACGGAATCTACACATACCACATTTTATCTATTCAATTTTTCAATTCAATTCAATTTTATTTGTATAGCGTCAATTCATAACAGAAGTTATCTCAGGACACTTTTCAAATAGAGCAGGTCTAGACCGAACTCTTTAAAACATTAATTACAGAGACCCAACAGTACCACCATGAGCAAGCACTTGGAGACAAGGGCAAGGAAAAACTGACTGTTAAAAGGCAGAAACCTAGGACAGATCCTTCGGCTCTAGGTGGGTGGTCGTCTGTCTCGACCAGTTGGGGTGAGAGAGAGAGAGAGAGAGAGAGAGAGAGAGAGAGAGACAGAGAGAGAGAGAGCGAGAGACAGACAGACAGACAGACAGGTGCACAGCAACAACAGTATTGGCAATGGCAATCTAGCAGGACCATGGCAGGAGTCTCCACCAGGATCGACAAGAACCTGCGAGACGAGAAAGCACAAGAACTCTGGGGAAGAAGTGAAGTTAGTAACATGCATTAATGGAACATGAATGAGTGCAGAAAGAGAGAGGAAGGGAGGAGCTCAGTGCACCATGGGAAATCCCCCAATAGTCTAGGCCTATAGCAGCATAACTAAGGGATGGTTCAGGACTCACCTGATCCAGCCCTAACTATAAGCTTTATCAAAGAGGAATGTCTTAAGCCTACTCTTGAATGCGGTGAGGGTGTCTGCCTCTTCTATATATATATATATATATTTTTATTTTTCTATATTTTCTATCTCAAGTCACTGGTCGCCTGCATCAATACAATCAGGGAAGTAATTGGGGTAACCCTTCCCAGCCTAGATTTCTACATGCAATACACAACAATCAACCAAGCTATCTCCCCTCATCCGCATCGCAGGCCAAGGAGCCTGCATGTCCAAGACTAGGGGTGGGCGAAATGGGCAAAAGATAATATCTCGTTATTTTTGGGGATTTTGGCGATAACAATAATCAGTCGATATCCTTTAAAATGTGATTGAAATTGTCAGAGTTTTGTATTCAAAATAGGTGCTGCTAGCACTAAAAACATGTTTGGTGGACACAGACCCTTATCAGTCCTTTCGAAACCAAACCATTTCCATGCCAGAGAGGTAGACCCACGTCTCGGCACTAAATCATCTGAAGTACCGGTAGCTTCAGGGACTGGAGGTGCTTGCATTTTCTCTCTGCACCTGACCTTTAGGTGCAAGAGCAGCCTGGATCTTCAGAAACCACTAAAACTCCCATACATCATCCATCTCCTAGATGATTTCCTCAAGGTCACGCCACCATCTTCATCCCCATCATATGGTCTCAACACTCTGACTCTCAGGAGCTTGGAGTTCCTCTCTACCTGGACAAAATGGAGGGTCCCTGAACATCCCTGGAATTTCTCAGGCTTTAACTCCTTCCATGACCAGAAAGTCCACCAGATTTCCTTACTCATTTCAAATTTCATTCTGGTTCACAAATGCACTAAACGACAACTTCTCTCACTGCTTGGCCACCTCAACTACATCATGCGCATCCTGGAGCAGCATTTCATTATTTTAGTCCCAAAAAATCATCAGCATCCACTCTGAAGAACATCCTACACCAAAATGTTTGCCACCAACTTCAGACCTCCTTACCCACTGCATCAGAACTCTCTGCGCAGGCTAGTCTTCCTCATACATCGATAAGGTCCTAGAGTCAATGTTCCTTCGGCCATTCTTTGGCTTCTTCTGCCCACTCCGTTCCCTCCCACCCGAACTCCCCCATCCATCCATAAACCTGATTTCTCCCATACCCCTACATCCCTCGACCCTCATCCCTCCATTCTTCCTACAGCTTATCATATTGGTTCACCTTTATCCATTATGTGCAATAAACAATTCTAATTCCATATCCTCATTGGCTTAGTCTTTGTTAATGAATGTAGTACTACAGTAGTATTATAGTAGTGCTGCAGTACCTGTATATCCACCAGTCTCTCCTCCAACAGTCTCTGTTGACGCTTTGCTTTCCTCTTCAACTTCTTCTTCTTGTTCTTAGACAGTTTACCGACCTACAGACAGACAAACAGACAGACAGATGCCACAACAGACAGAGAAGTTTCTACACATCAACACAGTTGTTAAAGTGCTCACACACACACACACACACACACACACACACACACACACTGTGTTACTGACACTACACACTACTGAACACACTTCTTGCTGCAGGTGAGTGTTGTGTATTAACTGACACCGGGGGTGTAAAGAGTCACTGAGTCAGAAATCAGTTTTAATGTTACAGACGCGACTGCATTGGTACGTCGACCCCTGAATGGATCTAAATGTACCACAAACCTGTTGATGGTCAGATAAAAAGATCTAAAGTTATGAATTGTTGACTGAGGTTTTGCTGCTAACAGTGTCTCTACTCTCCTGAAAGGTCAAAGGTCAACACCAAGGTCTCACCACAAGAGTGAGGAAAGTAACGCTAACACAGCATGGCTCACCATCAAATCTAAAATCTAAAGTTTGGAAGACATTTGGATACTATAAGAATAGGGATGGGGCCGATCCGATCCAGTATCGGGACCGATACCAGCGTAATTCTCATATCGGAATTTCCCGATCCAACCTGTGCAGATTTCCGATATCCATGAGCCATGTCTGCGCTTTAACGTTGTCTGCTGAAATGACTCCACAGGTGATTCCTGCCGGCCAGTCTGCTAGCTGGCTGCAAACTGTGGAATGGATTTCCTGAATGGAGGTGCGGCTCAATGAGACACAGAGTTATGAGACATGCCTCCGCTCAGGAAATCCATTCTGCAGTTTGCAGCCAGCTAGCAGGATAGCATTGAGCAGCATTGTGGCTAGCCAACATGTCCGCTGTGTGGAAATACTTTACACTGGAAACACCGCAGAGCAAGACAGCAAAATGCAATGTTTGCAAAGCCGTAATTCAGAGACGCGGAAGCGCCCTCGCGTCGTACAACACTACGAACGCAATCAAACATAAAAAAAAAAAAAACACAAGAAAGACCACAAGGATTTTTTAGGCGAGCTGTCAGGAATCACTTCTGGAGTCATTCCAGAAACAAGGTAAACTCCAGGCAGACAGTGTGTGCGTGTGTGTGTGTGTGTGTGTGCGCGTGCGTAAGATGTTTACAGTTATTGCACTTTTCAAACCTTGATTTGTTGATGCTACAAGAGCTAGTGCTTGTGGTGTTCAGATTCAGACACTGTTTTATTGATAGTGTGTGTGTGTGTGTGTGTGTAAGATGTTTACACACTTTTCTTATATTTCAAGACTCAAATATTTGACATTTTGGGAATTTAATAAATATTGACATGACAATCAATTTGAAACCCTTACAGTTGCATATTTGTTTTCAGAATGAGATTTTTCCTGTTAACAGAATTTCCTGTTTTTCTGACTTCCTTTTCTGACCTTATCTGTGTGAAGAGCGTCTGCAGCCCGGACATCGAGCTCATCGCCGTCGGACTTCGTCCGTGTTGTCTGCCACGGGAACTTTTCCAGTGCCATCACTGTCTATATTCCTCACAGTGGTCTTCATCATCACCATCACTGTTTACATTTATGATGTCCTATTTATTCTCCTGTACAGCACTTTGGTCAACTTTGGTTGTTTTTAAAGTGCTTAACAAATAAAGTTGGATTGGATTGGATTATAATTACCTCAAGTTGCCTTTTGGGACATACATGCATACATACGTACATATCATACTTGCCTGTTGAGAGGAGTTTATTTCAGCCTCATATAAAATCAACAATAATGATAATAATAATATTAAAGCAAACACAGCTCTGGTATCGGAATAGTATCGGTATTGGCAGATATCCAAATTCAGGTATCGGGATCGGATCGGAAGTGAAAAAACGTGGATCGGTGCATCCCTATATAAGAAGGAAGGAAAGTCTGTCCATTTGTCAGACAGTAAAGTCCAGCGGTAACGCGGAGGCACGGTGACACCTACACAGGAGACGAGGAGTCTTTGGATGCTTACACAGCTAGCACAAGCAAGAACACGCATCTTGCGTTCTAAATACTTTCTAGCTACGACTGAGCTCCAACTGGGCGAGGTCGAAGGTAATCACTGAAGTCTGTGTGTCTGTCTGTTGGAAAAGCAACAAACACAATGACTATAATTCTGAAATAAGTCTTCAGTTTTTACCTAAAAAGAAAAAGATACTTGGTATTTTATAAAATATATGTATTTGAAGGTGAACAATGTCACTTTTATAGAATTGTCTTATTTTAATTTAGAATGTAAAATTCATGTCTACATTTAACAAATGTGAAGAACTGCATCAAATTGTTCCAGATTAAAATGGCCCTGAATCGTAGCCCAGGTATCTGGATACTTATTGGATCCTCTCAGAAAGGCAGACGGACACCCCCAGTGTTTACCTCATAGTCACATGCAACTAACTGATGTTACATCACAGCAACTATCCAATCAGATCACAGCTTCTCACTGCAGGTTAAAGACACCTGGACCAGCAGCAACCAATGACAACACAGCAGGCGTCACAACTGGACACTTACCTGTACATCCCTGGGAGCCATGCTAACTAGAGAGAGAGAGAGAGACACATAGAGGCAGACAGACAGCGAGAGAGAGAGATAGGAAGAAAACATCAGAAACAGGAAATAAAGACAGAGGACAGACAGGCAGAGAGACAGACAGATACATACAGAGGCAGAAAAGGAGACAGTTTAGAAAGCAGACAGACAGATAGAGTGGAAACCACAGCCCCCAGTAACACTGCTGTCTGACTCTAGATCATCTATAATCTGATCTGATTGATTAACTGATCAGTTCCTCCACGCAGTGTGACAACTGATATCTTCATGTACTCCAGATTAAATATCAGCTCATTATTTCCTTCATCGATATTTATATATGTGATCAATATGTATTTAATATTATTATTAATTATTAAACATGTCTGATCACAAACACACCAACACTGTCCATCACAGCACTTAACATTCACTGTTTCCTGTTCTCTGACCCATCACATAGCTCCTCACCTGATGACCCAGAAGGGGGCGGGGCTCCAGCTCTCTGCCAGATGGTCGCCTCAGCCGCCAATTTCCTGATGTAAACCTCGTCAACGTCCAATAGGATGTTCTCTGGCTTAATGTCGGTGTGGATGATCTTACACTTAGTGTGGAGGTAGTCCAGACCCTGCAGCACCTGTAACAACACAGCCGAGTCACTCAACGAGTCCGATTCAACGAGTCTGAGTCACAGTGTCATTGTGGATGATCTTAGATTTAGTGTGGAGGTAGTCCGGTCCCTGAAAAGTCAAGTACTCGTCAATACCTTGTCAAAAAGTGATTTCAGGGTGCCTGGTTAGCTCAGTTGGCAACCCATGTACCATGTACCCGACCTGCAGCCCTTTGCTGCGTGTCATCCCCTCTCTCTGCCCCCCTTTCCTGTCTATCTTCAGCTGTCACTATCATAAAGGCAATAAAAGCACCCAAAAATACTTAAAAAAAACAAAAGTGATTTCATTGATGACGTTTACTTGTAGTTGTTAGCTAACTGCAGACTAGGAGCTCAAGGCACCACTAGCGTTTTTTCATTTACATGCTGGCTTGACTCAGTTTGACTCACCAGCCCAGCGTGGCACAGGTTTCCATGACAATTCAATTCAATTTTATTTGTATGGCGACAATTCATAACAGAAGTTATCTCAGGACACTTTTCAAATAGAGCAGGTCTAGACCCAACTCCTTATAACATTATTTACAGAGACAGACAGAGAGAAAGAGAGAGAGAGACAGACAGACAGACAGACAGACAGACAGGTGCACAGCAACAACAGTAGCAACAACTACACTAATAGTAGTGACTGATGATGATGAACATGAAGAAGATGATAACGACTACGACAACAACGATGGGGGACAATAAGCAGTGATTATAGTAATAATAGTAACTTTAGTAATAATATTAGTAATAATATTAACAACAACTAAAAAATTGCTAAAGAAATTTTGAGTGTGCCTGACTGGTGATTTATCTGCAAACTGTTTTGCGAAACGCTTAGAAAAGTCATAGCACTAATCTCCTGGCCGAGCCGCACGTTTTGATACATTTTTTGTGTATGTGCAACCAAAACTGCGGGAGGAGTAGTTGACACGCCACGGAAGAATAATGCCTGTTCACAGTCAGGCTCGTGAGGGGCAGGCTTTGGTTGCCAAGCAACCAGGGCAAGGCCAGAGCAGTTAACAGCAGTTAAGCGCTTTCTCTCACATTCATACCGTGTTCTGTCTAGCATAGTAATACCTTGTCATCTTCTCTAGCTAGCTAGCTAAAACTGCGGGAGGAGTATTCGACCAAAAAACGACACGGAAGAATAAAAAGTATGACCAATAATAGTAGTGTGCTTTTCAGGCACACTAATTAAGCACAAGGAATAGTAGTAGTGTGCTTTTGCAGGTACACTAATAATATCAGTAATATTAACAACTGGACAACCTGCTGGTTATTTTCTAATTGGCAGTTACGTTCTAAAGCTCAAATAAACAGAGTTAAATTTATTGAAGAAAATGACCATGTGATTTCCTACAAAACCTTCGCAATAAATGTTCCCGGTTATTTTCTTATTTTAAAATCAGGACGGCTTTATGGGTAACCATCAGCAATAACAAACTTGTCTGAACCTGTAATGGAAAGCACAAATGAATGTGGTTAAATAGTGTGTACACACTATATATAGCGTGTTAACACTATATATAGTGTATATATAGTGTATATATAGTGTGTATATAGTGTATATATAGTGTGTATATAGTGTGTATATAGCGTATATATAATTCAATTCAATTCAATTGAAAAGTGTCCTGAGATAACTTCTGTTATGAATTGGCGCTATACAAATAAAATTGAATTGAATTGAATTAATTTTTGTAATATTACGTAAATGAAAGAAGGCAGTCCTAGAGGTCTGCTTTATGTGGGAGTTAAATGACAAATCCTGATCAAAGATAACTCCAATATTCCTGACAGTGGTGCTAGAAGCCAAGTTAATACCATCTAGAGTAACTATATCTTTAGACAGTGAGTCTCTAAGGTTTTTGGGGCCAAGAACAAGAATTTCGTTTAACATCAGAAAATTGCAGGTCATCCAGGATTTTATGTCCTTAAGACATGTTTGTAATTTAGATAATTGATTAATTTCATCGGGCTTGATTGATAGATATAACTGCGTATCATCTGCATAACAGTGAAAGTTAATGGAGTGATTCCTAATAATGTTGCCTAAAGGGAGCATATATAAAGTAAATAGTATTGGTCCAAGTACAGAACCTTGTGGAACTCCATGACTAACTGTAGTATTTATTGAAGATTCATCGTTAACATGTACAAACTGCGAGCGATCTGATAAATATGACTTAAACCAGCTAAGTGCGGTTCCTTTAATGCCAATTTGATGCTCAAGTCTCTGTAAAAGAATATTATGGTCAATGGTGTCAAATGCAGCACTAAGATCTAATAATACAAGTACAGAGACAAGTCCATTGTCAGAAGCAATCAGAAGGTCATTATTAACTTTAACCAGAGCTGTCTCTGTGCTGTGATGAACTCTAAATCCTGACTGAAAATCCTCAAATAAACTATTGTTATGTAGAAAGTCACACAACGCTTTGGCGACTACTTTCTCCAGAATCTTAGAGAGGAAGGGGAGGTTAGAAATCGGTCTATAGTTGGCTAAAACCCCTGGGTCAAGAGTGGGCTTTTTAAGAAGGGGTTTAATTACAGCTACTTTAAAGGACTGTGGAACATATCCTGATAATAAAGAAAGATTAATCATATCCAGTAAAGAAGTGCCAATTAAGGGAACAACTTCTTTAAGCAGCCTAGTTGGGATCGGGTCTAATAGACAGGTTGATGGCTTCGATGAAGAAATGATTGAAGTTAACTGACGAAGATTGATAGCAGAAAAACAGTCTAAATATATATCTAAGTTTACACTGACAGAAGTCCCTGAACTTGGAGAGCCACTGATAACTGTTGATGGCAGTTGGTGATTAATTTTCTCTCTAATAGTAATAATTTTATTATTAAGCTCATGAAGTCATTGCTACTTAAGTTTATGGGGATATGTGGCTCAATAGAGCTGTGGCTCTCTGTCAGCCTGGCTACAGTGCTGAAGAGGAACCTAGGGTTATTCTTATTTTCTTCTATTAGTGCTGAGTAATAGGCTCCTCTGGCATTATGGAGGGCCTTTCTATAAGTTTTAAGATTATCATGCCAAATTGAGCGATATTCTGATAATTTGGAAGAGCGCCATTTCCTTTCAGATTTCCTAGCTATTTGTTTTAACTGGCGGGTTTGTGGACTGGAGTCTAATGTTGATCGTAGTGAGCCTGTAGCACTATCGACAAGATTATCAATTTCAGAGGGACTAAAGTTGTTGTAGGACTCTGTTATATTCAGACATGGCATTGAATTAAACACTGAAGGAATCTCCTCCTTAAATTTAGCTACAGCACTGTCAGATAGACATCTGCTGTAGGAAGTTTTGCCTAATGGCTTATAATCTAATAGTATGAATTCAAAAGTTATTAAATAATGGTCAGATAGGAAAGGATTATGTGGGAAAACTATTAAATGTTCAATATCAATGCCATATGATAGAACAAGGTCAAGAGTGTGATTAAAACAATGAGTTGGTTTATTTACACTCTGACAGAAGCCAATTGAGTCTATTAATGATATAAATGCGTTACAAAGGCTGTCATTGTTAACATCCACATGAATATTAAAATCACCTACAATAATTACTTTATCTGATTTAAGGACTAAACTTGATAAAAACTCTGAGAATTCAGATATAAAATCAGAGTACGGTCCAGGAGCACGGTACACTATAACAAATAGAACTGACTGCAGTGTTTTCCAGTTTGGGTGAGAAAGACTAAGAACAAGGCTTTCAAATGAATTATAATTTAGTTTAGGTTTAGGGTCCATTAAAACGCTCGAATCATATATGGCTGCCACTCCACCTCCTCGGCCAGTGCCTCGAGGAATGTGAGTATTAATATGACTGGGGGGGGGGTGGATTCATTTAGGCTAACATACTCCTCGTGGGACAACCAGGTCTCAGTAAGACAAAGTAAATCAATATCATAATCTGATATTAATTCATTCACTAAAACAGCTTTAGAGGACAGAGACCTGATATTTAACAGCACACATTTCATTCTCTTATTTTGTGCTACTGAGGAGTTAGTTTTAATTTTTATTAGATTTTTATGTTGAATTCAATTCAATTCAATTCAATTTTATTTGTATAGCGCCAATTCATAACAGAAGTTATCTCAGGACACTTTTCAAATAGAGCAGGTCTAGACCGAACTCTTTAACATTAATTACAGAGACCCAACAGTACCACCATGAGCAAGCACTTGGCGACAAGGGCAAGGAAAAACTGCCTGTTAAAAGGCAGAAACCTAGGAGAGATCCTCCGGCTCTAGGTGGGTGGTCGTCTGTCTCGACCAGTTGGGGTGAGAGAGAGAGAGAGAGAGAGAGAGAGAGAGAGAGAGAGAGACAGAGAGAGAGAGAGCGAGAGACAGACAGACAGACAGACAGACAGACAGGTGCACAGCAACAACAGTATTGGCAATGGCAGTCAAGCAGGACCATGGCAGGAGGCTCCACCAGGATCCATGAGAACCTGCGAGACGAGAAAGCACAAGAACTCCGGGGAAGAAGTGGAGTTAGTAACATGCATTGCAGTGCATGCAGTAGGCTTAAGACATTCCTCTTTGATAAAGCTTATAGTTAGGGCTGGATCAGGTGAGTCCTGAACCATCCCTTAGTTATGCTGCTATAGGCCTAGACTATCGGGGGATTTCCCATGGTGCACTGAGCTCCTCCCTTCCTCTCTCTTTCTGCACTCATTCATGTCCCATTAATGCATGTTACTAACTTCACTTCTTCCCCGGAGTTCTTGTGCTTTCTCGTCTCGCAGGTTCTTGTCGATCCTGGTGGAGCCTCCTGCCATGGTCCTGCTTGACTGCCATTGCCAATACTGTTGTTGCTGTGCACCTGTCTGTCTGTCTCTCGCTCTCTCTCTCTCACCCCAACTGGTCGAGACAGACGACCACCCACCTAGAGCCGGAGGATCTGTCCTAGGTTTCTGCCTTTAACAGGCAGTTTTTCCTTGCCCTTGTCGCCAAGTGCTTGCTCATGGTGGTACTGTTGGGTCTCTGTAATTAATGGTAAAGAGTTCGGTCTAGACCTGCTCTATTTGAAAAGTGTCCTGAGATAACTTCTGTTATGAATTGGCGCTATACAAATAAAATTGAATTAAAATTGAATTGAAATAGTGTATATGTAGTGCGTATAAACTGTGTATATAGTGTATATATAGTTTATATAGTGTGTATATAGTGTATATAGTGTGTATATAGCATATAGAGTGTATATAGCGTATAGTGTGTATATAATGTATATAGTGTGTATATAGCGTATGTATAGTGTGTATATAGTGTATATGTAGTGTGTATATAGTGTATAGTGTGTATATATAGTATGTATAGTGTGTATATATAGTGTATATGTAGTGTGTAAAAAGTGTGTATATAGTGTATATATAGTGTATATAGTGTATATATAGTGTGTATATAGTGTATATATAGTGTGTATGTAGTGTATAGATAGTGTGTATGTAGTATGCATATAGTGTGTATGTAGTGTATAGATAGTGTGTATATAGTGTGTATATAGTGTGTACAGTGTGTATACAGTGTGTATATAGCGTATATATAGTGTGTATATAGTGTATAAAGTGTGTATATAGTGTGTATATAGTGTAGAGTGTGTATATATAATGTGTATATAGTGTAGTGTGTATATATAGTGTAGATATAGTGTATATGTAGTGTGTATAAAGTGTGTATATAGTGTATATATAGTGTGTATATAGCGTATATATAGTGTGTGTATATAGTGTATATATAGTGTATATGTAGTGTATATATAGTGTATATACAGTGTATATGTAGTGTGTATAAAGTGTGTATAAAGTGTGTATATAGCGTATATATAGTCTGTATATATTGTATAAATTGTGTATATAGTGCGTATATAGTGTATATATAGTGTGTATAGTGTATATATAGTGTATACAGTGTATATATATAGTGTATGTAGTGTATATATAGTGTGTATAGTGTATATATAGTGTATACAGTGTATATATATAGTGTATGTAGTGTATATATAGTGTATATAGTGTAGATATAGTGTATATGTAGTGTGTATAAAGTGTGTATATAGTGTGTATAGTGTGTATATAGTGTATATATAGTGTGTATATAATGTATATATAGTGTGTATGTAGTGTATAGATAGTGTGTATGTAGTGTATAGATAGTGTGTATGTAGTGTATAGATCGTGTGTATATAGTGTGTATGTAGTGTATAGATAGTGTGTATGTAGTGTATAGATCGTGTGTATATAGTGTGTATGTAGTGTATAGATAGTGTGTATATAGTGTGTACAGTGTGTATACAGCGTATATAATGTGTGTACAGTGTGTACAGTGTGTGTACAGTGTGTATATATAATGTCTACAGTGTGTATAGTGTGTTACCTGTCTGATGATGGTCTTCACACTGACCAGCGGAAGTCCCATATAGTTTGACTTAATGATCCATTTTAACAGCTGATGACCCAAAACCTCCAGAACCATACAGACATCTGACAGAGGCTGAGGAAATTACTGACTGATAGACGGACAGGTACAGACAGATACAGACTGATACAGACTGGTACAGACTGGTACAGACTGGTACAGACACAGACAGATACAGACTGGTACAGACACAGACAGATACAGACTGGTACAGACTGGTACAGACTGGTACAGACTGGTACAGATACAGACAGATACAGACTGGTACAGACTGGTACAGGTACAGGTACAGGTACAAGTACAGACACAGACACAGAGACAGAGACAGACACAGACACAGACATACAGATATAGACAGGTACAGACAGGTACACGTATACGTACACGTACAGACAGGTACAGACTGGTACTGAAGGATACGGATTCCGTTGACTCCAGAGATCTTGAAGTCGTCGATCAGTTGGACGATGGTTTCTCTGTAGGGGTCAGAGGGGTCGCTGTCTCTCACCTGTAAACAAACACACTGGTTACCTGTGGACTGAACACCTGCTTTAATTTTACTGTTGTAGTTGTGACGCAGTGCAGGCGACGCAGTTCAATGTCAGTACTGCAACAACAGACACTCTCAGCTAGATAGAGTTTATACTACAGTCAGCCACCAGGGGGAGATAGAGAGAGTCTATACTGCAGTCAGCCACCAGGGGGAAATAGAGAGAGAGAGAGAGTCTATACTGCAGTCAGCCACCAGGGGGAGATAGAGAGAGAGAGAGTCTATACTGCAGTCAGCCACCAGGGGGAGATAGAGAGAGAGAGAGAGTCTATACTGCAGTCAGCCACAAGGGGGAGATAGATAGAGAGTCTATACTGCAGTCAGCCACCAGGGGGAGATAGAGAGAGAGAGAGTCTATACTGCAGTCAGCCACCAGGGGGAGATAGAGAGAGAGAGAGAGTCTATACTGCAGTCAGCCACCAGGGGGAAATAGAGAGAGAGAGAGTCTATACTGCAGTCAGCCACCAGGGGGAGATAGAGAGAGAGTCTATACTGCAGTCAGCCACCAGGGGGAGATAGAGAGAGAGAGAGTCTATACTGCAGTCAGCCACAAGGGGGAGATAGAGAGAGAGAGTCTATACTGCAGTCAGCCACAAGGGGGAGATAGATAGAGAGAGTCTATACTGCAGTCAGCCACCAGGGGGAGATAGAGAGAGAGTCTATACTGCAGTCAGCCACCAGGGGGAAATAGAGAGAGTCTATACTGCAGTCAGCCACCAGGGGGAAATAGAGAGAGTCTATACTGCAGTCAGCCACCAGGGGGAGATAGATAGAGAGAGTCTATACTGCAGTCAGCCACCAGGGGGAGATAGATAGAGAGAGTCTATACTGCAGTCAGCCACCAGAGGAAGATAGAGTGTGTGTGTGTGTGTGTGTGTGTGTGTGTGTGTGTGTGAGAGACTCACACATCGGAGCAGTTTGATCTCGTCCAGAGCCGTCTCAGTGTAATGTGGAGCACTCTTTACCACCTTCAGCGCCACAAAACGTTTCTTCCTGAACACAGACACAGATTCAGAAGATGCTAACAAGAAGCTAACAAGATACTAACACAATGTGTGTGTGTGTGTGTGTGTGTGTGTGTGTGTGTGTGTGTGTCGTACTGTAGGTCCCAGCAGAGCCACACTGTAGAGAAATGTCCCCAGCCCAGTTTTCTGACCACGTGGTACCTCCCGTTAAACAGATCACCGATCTTCACCGGGTAGTAACCACCTGGAACATAAACAGAACATGGTTAGAGAACATGGTGGTGGAACAGGGCTCTACTCACGGACTCCAACCATGTAATCTATTACAATATTAACAACCTGGTCCCTTCTCGGGTTCAACCTGAGCCTTGACAGATGTTTGTCCATCTTCTCCTTCTTTCTTAAAAATGTCTTCCAAAATTAAAAAAATGAAATCAATACACACTCTTGAACCCATCCCAACCCGAACAGGAGGTCGGCCAGTTGAAATAGTTCGAGTTACCTTGTGAAATGAAACTTGTGTTTTGACGTCATCACAAACATTCTGGCATTATTAAAAGGAATTGATCTGTTGCGCCGTGTTCAATTCTGATTGATCTGGAACCGGTTCGGGGTTCTCCAGGGGGAGGGAAACTGATCAAATTCTCATCAGTAAAAACAACATAAACTGTTTAACAAGGTCAGGGACAGAGAGTATTGAACCACAAGTATTGATCATCATTAAAGTTTGGCAAGATAGTCTAACTCCATAACGCCAGAGGAGCCTATTACTCAGCAATAATAGAAGAAAATAAGAACAACCCTAGGTTCCTCTTCAGCACTGTAGCCAGGCTGACAGAGAGTCACAGCTCTATTGAGCCACATATCCCCATAAACTTAAGTAGCAATGACTTCATGAGCTTCTTTTATAATAAAATTATTACTATTAGAAAGAAAATGAATCACCAACTGCCATCAACAGTTATCAGTGGCTCTCCAAGTTAAGGAACTTTAACTAATGTAAACTCAGATATATATTTAGACTGTTTTTCTGCTATCGATCTTCATCAATTAACTTCAATCATTTCTTTACGGAAGCCTGTCTGCTTAAAGAAGTCGTACCCTTAATTGGCACTTCTTTACTGGATATGATTAATCTTATTTTATTATCAGGATATGTACCACAGTCCTTTAAAGTAACTGTAATTAAACCCCTTCTTAAAAAGCCCACTCTTGACCCAGGAGTTTTAGCTAACTATAGACCAATCTCTAACCTCCCCTTCCTCTCTAAGATTCTGGAGAAAGTAGTCGCCAAACAGTTGTGTGACTTTCTACATAACAATAGCTTATTTGAGGATTTTCAGTCAGGATTTAGAGTTCATCACAGAACAGAGACAGCTCTGGTTAAAGTTAATAATGACCTTTTGATTGCTTCCGACAATGGACTTGTCTCTGTACTTGTATTATTAGATCTTAGTGCTGCATTTGACACCATTGACCATGATATTCTTTTACAGAGACTTGAGCATCAAATTGGCATTAAAGGAACCGCACTAAGCTGGTTTAGGTCATACTTATCAGATCGTTCGCAGTTTGTACATGTTAACGATGAATCTTCCATAAATACTACAGTTAGTCATGGAGTTCCACAAGGTTCTGTACTTGGACCAATACTATTTACTTTATATATGCTCCCTTTGGGCAACATTATTAGGAATCACTCCATTTACTTTCATTGCTATGCAGATGATACACAGTTATATCTATTGATCAAGCCCAATGAAATTAATCAATTATCTAAATTACAAATGTCTTAAGGACATAAAATCCTGGATGACCTGCAATTTTCTGATGTTAAACTGAAATTCTTCTACTTGGCCCCAAAAACCTTAGAGACTCTCTGTCTAAAGATATAGTTACTCTAGATGGCATTAACTTGGCCTCTAGCAAGGCCTTTCATTTACGTAATATTACAAAAATTAGACACATACTATCACAGACAGATGCAGAAAAACTAATCCATGCATTTGTTACTTCTAGGCTGGATTACTGCAACTCTTTATTATCAGGTTGCCCTAATAAGTCCATTAAAACGCTTCAATTAATTCAGAACGCTGCAGCACGAGTACTGACAGGAACTAGAAAAAGAGATCACATCTCTCCTGTACTAGCTTCTCTGCATTGGCTCCCTGTAAAATGTAGAATAGCATTTAAAATCCTCCTCCTCACCTATAAAGCTCTTCATGGTCAGGCCCCTTCATATCTTAAAGAGCTCATAGTACCCTATTACCCCTCTAGAACACTACGTTCTCTGAATGCTGGGCTACTTGTGGTTCCTATAGTCTCTAAAAGTAGAACAGGAGCCAGAGCCTTCAGTTACCAAGCTCCTCTCCTGTGGAACCAGCTTCCAGTTGTGGTTCGGGAGGCAGACACCCTCACCACATTTAAGAGTAGGCTTAAGACATTCCTCTTTGATAAAGCTTATAGTTAGGGCTGGATCAGGTGAGTCCTGAACCATCCCTTAGTTATGCTGCTATAGGCCTAGACTATCGGGGGATTTCCCATGGTGCACTGAGCTCCTCCCTTCCTCTCTCTTTCTGCACTCATTCATGTTCCATTAATGCATGTTACTAACCACTTCTTCCCCGGAGTTCTTGTGCTTTCTTGTCTCGCAGGTTCTCATGGATCCTGGTGGAGCCTCCTACCATGGTCCTGCTTGACTGCCATTGCTAATATCACTGATATTATTATTATTATTATTACTATTATTATTATTATTACTACAGTTACTATTATTACTATTGTCATTGCTCATTGTCCCCCAATGTTGCTGTTGTCGTCGTCGTCTTCTTCATGTTCATCCTTATCAGTCACTACTATTAGTGTAGTTGTTGCTACTGTTGTTGCTGTGCACCTGTCTGTCTGTCTGTCTGTCTGTCTGTCTGTCTGTCTGTCTGTCTGTCTCTCTCTCTCTCTCTCTCTCACTCCAACTGGTCGAGGCAGACGACCACCCACCTAGAGCCGAAGGATCTCTCCTAGGTTTCTGCCTTTTAACAGGCAGTTTTTCCTTGCCCTTGTCTCCAAGGTCTTGCTCATGGTGGTACTGTTGGGTCTCTGTAATTAATGTTTTAAAGAGTTCGGTCTAGACCTGCTCTATTTGAAAAGTGTCCTGAGATAACTTCTGTTATGAACTGGCGCTATACAAATAAAATTAAATATAAATAAATAATAAATTTAATTGAATTGAATTAAGTTTGGAAATCGATCAGTTAATCGATCGAACTCACCTTTGCAGTAATCTGAGGGGTCTTCCTGCTCTTCATCGTCAGAGCCCAGCAGCTGTGCAGGGGGCGGGGTTAACTCAGGAGGGGGGGGGCTCAAAGTCGGAGGGGGTGTGGTCAGCTGAGGGGGGGCTGATGACATCATGGGCAGCAGACCGGCGTGGGGGGCGAAGGAGTCGAGGGAGCGGAGGACAGAGGAGGAGGAGGAGGAGGAGGAGCAGATGGGGGGGTAAAGTTGGGAGGAGACGCTGGATGTAAATGTCACAGAGGTCAGGATGAAGGGGTCGGGATGGGAGGGGCTTACGTGAGGGCTGGGAGGAGCTCTGGTAGGAAGGTGGGAAGGAAGTGATTGTAGTTCAGAGGCATTCTCGGTAACATTGTGTGGTGTAGATGGAGGTGATTTGAAGCGATCTGTTTGGCTGTTAGAAAGAGTTCTGTGAGGCAATCTGGAGGAATTCTGTGTAATATTTTGGTTAACAGTTGGCGGTGATTGGCTGGGACTGTGGGCAGGTGGTGAGTGGCTGAAAATCTGGAGGCTACGTTCTAGAGGTTCAGGGAGATCTATTGCATCCAGAAGAGCTGGGGTGGTCTTCAAAGGCCTCTGGGGAGGTGGTGAGGGGGTCCCGGGGGCACTGTGGGGGTTCTGTTGGGGTCCTGTAGTGGATTCATGGTCTTCGGTGTGCGTCTGCGTATTTCCTGGCGTTTCTGGAGGATTGTTGGGGGGCAGCCTGGTGGTTTGGGGGTAGCTCTGCACCGACGTAGGGGGGGCACTCCTGTTTAAACTCCGAAGGTCACAGAGGTCATCAGGCCTGAAACAGGACAACAGGGCGTCACATCAGGTCTAAACGGTCTGATCCGGCATAAACGGACTGATCCGGCATAAACGGTCTGATCCGGCATAAACGGACTGATCCAGTATTATGTCACTGTGACTTCAGAGGCACAATGCAGTTCATTGACCAATCAGATACAGGCTGTATGATGTCATCCTGACCACATATATGGATCATATATCTCACACTCACAGTAACACACACACACACACACACACACACACACACACACAGTACACACACACACACACACACACACACACACACAAACACACACGCAGAGTCTATTTCAGTGCAGCCCAGGCTACCCTCAACAATGTCCATGAGTCAGAGAGCAGCTGTGTGTGTGTGTGTGTGTGTGAGTTACTGTGTGTGTGTGTGTGTGTGTGTGTGTGTGTGTGTGTGTGTGTGTGTGAGAGTTACTGTGTGTGTGTGTGTGTGTGTGTGTGTGTGTGTGTGTTACTCTGTTTGTGTGTTACTGTGTGTGTGTGTATGTTACTGTGTGTGTGTGTTACTGTGTGTGTGTGTATGTTACTGTGTGTGTGTGTTACTGTGTGTGTGTGTGTGTGTTACTGTGTGTGTGTGTGTGTGTGTGTGTGTGTGTGTGTTACTATGTGTGTGTGTGAGTTACTGTGTGTGTGTGTGTATGTTACTGTGTGTGCGTGTGTTACTGTGTGTGTGTGTGAGTTACTGTGTGTGTGTGTGAGTTACTGTGTGTGTGTGTGTTGTTACTGTGTGTGTGTGTTACTGTGTGTGTGTGTGTGTTACTGTGTGTGTGTGTGTGTGTTACTGTGTGCGTGTGTTACTATGTGTGTGTGTGAGTTACTGTGTGTGTGTGTGTATGTTACTGTGTGTGCGTGTGTTACTGTGTGTGTGTGTGTGTTACTGTGTGCGTGTGTTACTATGTGTGTGTGGTTGTGTGTGTGTGTGTATGTTACTGTGTGTGCGTGTGTTACTGTGTGTGTGTGGGTTACTGTATGTGTGTGTGAGTTACTGTGTGTGTGTGTGTGTGTTACTGTGTGTGCGTGTTACTGTGTTTTGTTACTGTGTGTGTGTGTGTGTATGTTACTGTGTGTGCGTGTGTTACTGTGTGTGTATATGTTACTGTGTGTGTGTGTTACTGTGTGCGTGAGTGTGTATTACTGTGTGTGTGTGTGTGTGTGTGTGTGTGTGTGTGATCATGATTCAGTCTGCTTCTATTATTGGAGTTGAGTCTCTGCAGGCCGAGCACCAAACCTGTTTCTGTCAGCTGGACACCAGCTAGCAGCTAGCTTAGCACAAACATATGGAACAGGGGGAAGTGGTTTACCTAGCTTAGCTTATTTACAGCTACTCAGCAGTACATCCTGCAATCAGCTATGTTAAAGGTTGTTGAATTATAGTGAAAAAAGTTGATTTGTTTCTTAGTAAATAAATAATAAATAAATATAAATATTACACAGCTACTCTCAAATTTCAGGTTTGTTAATGGATCAATAATTAGGGATCAGTAATGGATTCAAATCAATTGAGTCCTGTGTGGTCAACTAAAAAGTGTATTATGAATGTTCCCCTTTAAAACATTCAAAAATGCGAACAAAGACTCTTTTAGGTATAAATTAAATATGAGATTAAACAGTCAGCTGAGTAAAGATTAGGGTTGCAAAATTCCGGGAATTTTCAAAGTTGGAAACTTTCCATGGGAATTAATGGGAATATATGGGAATTAATGGGAATATATGGGAATTAATGGGAATAAACTGGATATTTTTAATATTGCTTGTTATAATACTGTTATAATACAGTCTATAACAGGGAACTTACATGTAGTTGAAAAGAAACATCTTGCAGGATAATCTCACTTAAAACAACCTGATTTAATGCAGCTTCAGTTGAATGTCCTCTTTATATTCGTCAATGACATGCACACACGCAGTAATCAGCATAGGCTACTACATACTTGCCAACATTTATTTTTTAAAATATGGGAGGTTTTTTTTTGTTTTGGGGCGGGGGGGTTAATACATAACCCATTGCTATTAACCTATTTGGGTTAATTGTATTGTACGCATATAACATAACCATAGCCATAGTAAATCAAAGGCAGCATGCTGGCTACCATCATATGTTAAGCTAAAGGTCAATGGTTTGGGCTACTACTTATGGTGCTTTCCGTTTGTCTCATAAATCCCCCGCCCGAGTTGCTCTGACGCCAGAATGTGACATAATTGCCCGTCTTGTACCACTTATAGCGTTCTGTTTGTCTTTGGGCGTTACGAGTCAGAGAGAACATGGACGCCACCAGTGCAGCAGCTGTGTTGTTATTGATTGTGGCTCTAAACAAGCTCAATGTGAAATAATAATGTGTTTCTACACAAACACAAACATTTCAAGTAATTCTGTTATTGCAAGTCTTACAGTTCAATAATATTTTGCCATTTTCGCCTATTTCAATTTCAACAAGTGCTGTGGCGTTTGTCTCGAGCCTCCAGGGGCCACCAGGGGCCACCAGGGGCCTCCAGGGGCCTCCAGGGGCCACCAGGAGTCTCCAGGGGCCTCCAGGGGCCTCCAGGGGCCTCCAGGAGCTTCCAGGGGCCACCAGGGGCCTCCAGGAGCCACCAGGGGCCACCAGGAGTCTCCAGGGGCCTCCAGGAGCCTCCAGGGGCCTCCAGGAGCTTCCAGGGGCCTCCAGGAGCCACCAGGGGCCTCCAGGGGCCACCAGGGACAGTGGCGGGCTAGTGTTATTGTTAGCTACATTAGCCTATTTAGCAAACCAGCTCGAAAACAAACCTTTACATTGTATTGAACTCACAGTAACACTGTGCAATGCATACATTGGTGACCGGACTAAAGCAGCAATGTAAACAAGTTTGTAGGAGAATTTAAAATCGACATTAAAACGACCAACGTAGCACAAAAACAAAGAAAATACATCTTAATATGGGCGCAGCCATCTTTGTTTTGCAAGTCTTACGTTCCCCCTCCTTCAGCTCGGTACACTCTGTAGATGTTTGTAAGATGGAGTTTGTATGAATTACCCAACTTTTCCCGTTAATTCTCCTAAATTCCATTAATTCCCATAATTTCCTCTTAATTCCCATAATTTCCATTAATTCCCATGAAGTTTCCAAATTGGAATGTTTCCAAAATTCCCCAGCTTATCTTTCCATGGAAAGCTTCTGGAAAATGTCCGCCCCTTTGCAACCCTAGTAAAGATACAGAGAATGACGTCAGTGAGCAGTGTATCAGTGAACTAACAGCAGGTCCACACTGAGTGTGTTCAACTGCTCTCTGGACCTGTGGCGTCCACACAGAGAACGTTGATCTTTCCACAGTCTGATATACTGAATGATTCTATCCACAGAGAGAAAGTCATACAGGAGGAGGTTATATTGTTTTTATATATGATATTGTTATATTGTTGTTGTGTCTGTCGCATATTATACAGATGCAGACACACTGTAGACAAACTGTAGACACAGACACCCTATAAACACACTGCAGACACAGACACCCTATAAACACACTGCAGACACACTGTAGACAAACTGCAGACGCAGACACACTGCAGACAAACTGCAGACGCAGACACACTGCAGACACACTGTAGACACACTGCAGACACACTGTAGACACACTGTAGACACACTGCAGACACACTGTAGACAAACTGTAGACACAGACACCCTATAAACACACTGCAGACACAGACACCCTATAAACACACTGCAGACACACTGTAGACAAACTGCAGACGCAGACACACTGCAGACACACTGTAGACACACTGTAGACAAACTGCAGACACACTGTAGACAAACTGTAGACACAGACACCCTATAAACACACTGCAGACACAGACACCCTATAAACACACTGCAGACACACTGTAGACAAACTGCAGACGCAGACACACTGCAGACACACTGTAGACACACTGCAGACACACTGTAGACACACTGTAGACACACTGCAGACACACTGCAGACGCAGACACACTGCAGACACACTGTAGACACACTGCAGACACACTGTAGACAAACTGCAGACACACTGCAGACAAACTGCAGACGCAGACACACTGCAGACACACTGTAGACACACTGCAGACACACTGCAGACACACTGCAGACACACTGCAGACACACTGTAGACACACTGTAGACACACTGCAGACACACTGCAGACACACTGCAGACACACTGCAGACACACTGCAGACACACTGCAGACGCAGACACACTGCAGACACACTGCAGACACACTGTAGACACACTGCAGACACACTGTAGACACAGACACACTGCAGACACACTGCAGACAAAGACACACTGTAGACAAAGTGCAGACACACTGTAGACACACTATAGACGCAGACACCCTATAAACACACTGCAGACACACTGCAGACACACTGCAGACACATTGTAGACACACTGCAGACACACTGCAGACACAGACACACTGCAGACACACTGCAGACACAGACACACTGCAGACACACTGCAGACACACTGCAGACACAGACACACTGCAGACACACTGCAGACACAGACACACTGCAGACACACTGTAGACACACTGTAGACGCAGACACCCTATAAACACACTGCAGACACACTGCAGACACAGACACACTGCAGACACACTGCAGACACAGACACACTGCAGACACACTGCAGACACACTGCAGACACAGACACACTGCAGACACACTGCAGACACAGACACACTGCAGACACACTGTAGACACACTGTAGACGCAGACACCCTATAAACACACTGCAGACACACTGCAGACACACTGCAGACACACTGTAGACACACTGCAGACACAGACACACTGCAGACACACTGTAGACACACTGTAGACGCAGACACCCTATAAACACACTGCAGACACACTGCAGACACACTGTAGACACACTGCAGACACACTGCAGACACACTGCAGACACACTGCAGACACACTGCAGACACACTGCAGACACACTGCAGACACACTGTAGACACACTGCAGACACAGACACACTGCAGACACACTGCAGACACAGACACACTGCAGACACACTGCAGACACACTGCAGACACAGACACACTGCAGACACACTGTAGACACACTGCAGACACACTGCAGACACAGACACACTGCAGACACACTGTAGACACACTGCAGACACACTGTTGGTTTACACATATTGATACCAATATGTCTGCTGATATTGACTGATCATATCGATCAACCTTATCAGTCGAGCTCAAGAACTAACTTTCCTGTTAGCTACCAAGTAACAGAACAGGCGAGTTCTAACTTTAGTCAAACTTATTGATCTCAACAGTATTGATTGTTAGCTAAACAGATACACAATAGTGTTTTAACGTTAGCAACCCTAACTTAAAGCTCAAAGAGTTATTAATATTATACAACATTTGCTGCTCAGCAGCTGATTCTATGCATCAACTGTACACATGCAACATGTTAATGACAACAAGTGTTTAATGTGAATTATTACTAAGGTTTAGGCTTCTCCCTCTGGAGATATATCCACTAAAGATGTGTCACTGTTCCTTAACAATATCATTTTTGTAGTTCAGTCTTCCTGGCATCTCTTCGCAAAGTTTATATTATTATTTAAGAATCTAATAAACTGCCATGTTCACATTAGGATATACGCAGTTGAAACAATCAGAGTGCTGATAGAACAAAGAGCTGATGAAACCAAGACTTAAGTCTGTATGATTGTTAAAAAACGTCACAGTCAGGGGTCAAAGGTTGGGAACCACTGATGTATATCACTGTATTCACTGTGTTTACAGTAAAATACTTTAATAACTTTCTGTCGTTTCAGTTGACCAATATGTAAACAATAAATCAACACACTGAAAACACACACACACACACACACGCACACACAGCTAAATTTAGCCTCTGAGTGTGTGTGTGTGTGTGTGTGTGTGTGGAGGTCAGCAGTGTCTGCTGGGTTCTCACCGGTTCTCGTCAGTCCGGACTCTCCGATGTTTTTTGCCTCTCCGTCGGTGCTTCTTACCGGAGCTGTTACCGGTTCCAGGACCGACTGCTGCTGAGAGAAAGCTTCATCAACCACACACCAAACTCCATTTAAAAATGTAACAATTTGTCCCCTATATGTATTCATATACCGCAATGAATTCATGAATTATGAGGAGTCACACTGTACCTCAAACTGTACTGATCATACTGACATTTCACATCAAATCTTAATTTGACCATAAGTTCAGAACAAAAGTCTAAAATGATCAGCCATCTTATGTATGACCTAGGTACAAACTCCATTCATAAAAGTTTAGATTTAGGGCTCTTCTCCACATTGGAACACATACACAACCATTCAAACATGAATCACCACCTGTCGAGAATGACTGAGGTTATCCTTTAATTCGGCCCACAGACTCACTGCCTGTGGACTGTAACACATCATGGAGGGTGGGTGGCAGCAATCACATCAAAGTTCACACTCAAGTTAACCAGCTGACTCCCGGAGGGTAACTTTAGAGCCGAATTTACCACCAGACATTCATTTTACCTCCAAGCAGCCAGAAACAATCAGCTGATCTGCTGGAACACTCAAATGTTAAAATGACTTAAAATTGAATGAAGTCTGGTTGAAGCGCCAACGTGTGACAGCCTCAGCAGTCACAGGCTGGTACTCTTAGCTAAAGACAGCTAGCTTAGCATGTTAGGCCCATTTTACCGGACTGACAGCGACCCGAATCAGGAGGATTTTACCTATCAGCATCCCGGCTCAAACCGAACCGGGTCAGAGCGGCGTGTCCCGGCGGTTAGCTCCGTTAGCCTCCGTTAGTCTCCGTTAGCTAACAGCTGACGCTCCGTTAGCTCCGTTAGCTCCGTTAGCTTCAGTTGCAGTTTCAGTACTGGCTCAGTTCTGGTTCACTACCGGGTCTGTACCGTTACTCTGGGGCTGTCAGTACCGATCCGGTCCAACCGTTCATGGTCTCAGCAGCTGCTGACAGTCTGACACCGGACACCGGGCACCAGGGTTAGCGCATGCGCAATGAGAAATCACGCTGAGATTGGAACCAAACTGGGACCAGAGGCGGATTGTTTGGGGGGGGGACAGAGAGGAGAGAGAGAGATACAGAGAGACAGACAGACAGACAGACAGACAGGTGCACAGCAACAACAGTAGCAACAACTACACTAATAGTAGTGAGTGATGAGGATGAACATGAAGAAGATGATGACGATGACAACAGCAACGATGGGGGACAATGAGCAGTGATTATAGTAATAATAGTAACTGTAGTAATAATAATAATAATAATAATAATAATAATAATTAAAGCTGCAAGCAGCGTTGGGCACTCCACGCAACTCGGGGCGTGCTGCGGCCGCGTCGTGTGCCGTCGTAACACGTGCGGACCACAACATGAAAATCTGCCGTCAATAAGCTCAAAATCGCCACGCAGCGCTTACTTCCTGTTGCCAGTAGGTGGCGCTATCACTATGTCTGAATACTGTCATGTACACGCAGGGCCAGCCCAAGCCTCCATGGGGCCCTAAGCAAAATTTGATTTTGGGGCCCTCTATTACTGCCAATAATAATGATTATTGATCATTCACACACCTACTATAAACGTATTCTACTTATTCTACTCTTTCATCACGAATACACTTGTAAAACTAAATGTGAGAACTTTTTGTTGCAGTTAGATTGTAATCCACTGTGATTAATGCCATGGAAGCAGACACCACATTTGCAAATTTACAGAAAAATCTTTCAATTAATATTTAGCAAAGTCAGCAACTCTCCCTACTATACATAAAACCTTAAAAAGCAGCCCGGCATGTTTTACCCATCTATGGTTTTTAATCTGAAATGGTAGTAAATTCAGCTACAAGAGCAGCCTGGGGTTGATTAACACTTAATATTCAAAGTGATATAGTACTAAGTGGGATACCGAATGTCATCTAGGCCAATTAAAAGTAACAAAATAAACTAATCGTTTACTGTAAACACAATCTGCTTTATTATTATTATTTTAAATAAACTGCAACACCAAATGTACAAAACCAGACAGCATTAAATAAAATAAATTAAAAAGATATCAGACAATACTTAAATACTTAAATAATGATGTAAATCAACAGGCACCTAAAACAAGGTAACACAAATGGTAAATATAATTTGCATATAATTAATTTTTTGAATACGTGAGCCAGCTCCGCTTTACTTTTTCCCCATTTACTAGGTGTCTGTATGTGTAATGTTAGTGGAAGCTTCGGCCATCGTGTCTTTTTGGGAATGTGAATGTGTCCTTTAAAGGCAGTGGCCCTCTTAATACCTGTTCAGTCCTTTCTGAGTCTGACAGGAAACAGGGACACTCAGCTGGGTCAACTGGCGGAGCTGCTGATCCCTGCTCCAAACTGGATGCTGAAGAAGACACATCAATCTCCATGACCAAAGATGAAGGACCTATAGGGAAATTAAAATAATATTTTTGGACAAATTTATTCATCTCAGAATATTCTGCAGTACACTGATCAATTATAAAGGTTGTTCTGTTGTTAACTTACCAGGTACAGCTGAGGTTGCAGAGAGGACAGTGGGCACAGTGGATGGAGCAGAGGACAGAGATGGACCTGAGATGAAAAACATGTCCCTTGTCATATGATTATATCTTATATTAGTATATCTTAATGAGATCATTTGACTAGAAATGAAATATATATGGTGACAGTGTTTGATCACCTGATTCATCAGCCTTGGCTGCTCCTGAGGAGGTGGATTGCCCCTGGGCTGAGTCAGTGCCTCCTCCTAAATACTTTAACAGTGCTCCTGGGGAAGTTTCATATAACGTATGAGCACAATAGGGAGTTGATGTAAAAGGAATATGTTTATTTACTCACATAAATTACTGTGCTCTGCAGCAAACAATTGCAAACAACATACCTCAAACTATAAGTTAACTAAATGAATTCATTAATGTAAAACCATATTGCTAGCAAACGTCACCGCGTTTGTAATTAACGTTAGTTATTAAACATTTGCTATCAAACGTTATCAAAAACGTTGTTTTGATGCCAAAAGTGACCCAGAATAATATAAATACACTGAGAATGTACTTATTCAAAGTATTACACAAACACAACAACGTTAGCTTGAATAGTAAATTATCTAACCTAGTAAGACGTTTTGAACTAATGTTAGCTAGCAAATTTGCTATTATAGGCTAATGTATTTGGCACAAAATATCAATAAATGTTACATTACCAAGACATACCTTTATCGTTTTTTCTCCTCTTCCTTCCTCTTCCTCTTCCTGCCCCTGAAGGTAACGTTAAGTCCTTTATTGTGACATCTTTCACCTGCTCCTAGCTCCTGGATGCTCAGTGCACACGGCACTGTACGGTTGGGAGCTCTGTACTAACGGAGCTCTGACCGTTGGAGCAGAGCGGCAGTAGGAAACTACACTCTGTTAACATCATATTGTTGTTGGGTTTTTATGTACAACAATGTACATTTGATAATATATCAATCATCATCACTCACACATAGAAAAAAATAATTAATTACTAAGTTAATTGCTCTTGGGGCCCCCTAGTGGTCACGGGGCCCTAAGCAGCTGCTTAGTTTGCTTATGCCTTGGGCCGGCCCTGTGTACATGTGTTCGGGCGGGACTCTTATCAAGCATTTGAAGTGTGGAGCCCATTGGACAATGTACACTCAAGTTATAGCAAATTCGTGTTTTGTGGTGGTCCATCAAAATTTCCTGCCACCCCACAGACACGCCCCCTCACCACAGTCAACACATATCATCAACAATGTGTTTTGCATTTTATAAGTTAATTTCAGCTGGATCTGATCATCCTGCGAGGAGTAGAACATAAAAGTATAAAACGTGATACTTCCTGTTACCAGTATGTGGCGCTATCACTATGTCTGAATATTGTCATGTAGACGTGTTCAGGGTGGGACTGTTATCAAACACGTGAAGTTTCATTGAGATTGGATCATGTACGCTGAAGTTATGAGGACGTGTTCAGGGTGGGACTGTACACTGAAGATATGAGTACATGCATCTGTTTGATGGCCAATCGGTGGAATTCGACACGTCGTCACGGGCACACTGTTAAACATACAGTCACAAATAGCACAACTTTTGATAACCAATGTGTGTAGATTGGAGTGATCGAATTTGAAGTCAATCTGATAAAATCTGTAGGAGGAGTTCGTTAAAACAGAAGCCCTTAAATGCAGGAAATAGCATCACAGTTTGACATTCGATTCAACCTGGCCAACTTTCAGGGAAAGCCACGGACACGCCCTTTAACGTACAGTCACAAATAGCACAACTTTCAATCAGCACCATTTTTTGACTGTACTGACCAATTTTGAAGCAGATCCGATAAATTCCCTAGGAGGAGTTCGTTCAAATACAACGCAAAACATTCACCAAAAATGCGCACGGAATTCACTATGGCCAACTTTGAGGGGCACGCCACGGACACGCCCTTTAATGTACATGCACAAATAGCACAACTGTTAATCAGAACCATTTTTTGACTGTGGCCGACTTAATGTGGCGTTTCGGGTATGGGTCCAAGAGGCTGTTTTGTACGTCCCGGCATGTTACACGTATCTATCAAGTTTCGTACATATCGGTGAAACGTGGCGCCGGGGCTGCTGTGTTTTTATCCTGTAGGGGGCGCTACAAACACAACAAACACGATTTTTGGTATGTGAACTTCAGGCACCACTCTACACGTGCCTTGCGAATTTCATATTCATAACTATTACGGTCTCCGCACAGTGATTTACCATGCCACCAGAGCACCACCTAGTGGCGGATTGTTGACACATTTTTTAGCGAGCCTCGGGGAGCCATGGGGAAGCATCGTACCAAGTTTCATTTCAATCACACTTGCCGTTATGGAGATATAAACTTCTTCATTTTAAGAGCACCACTTAGAGGCGATAGTCTGAAATTGTGCACGATGCCTAAGGAAGACATGGGGAACTAAGGACCCAAGTTTGATGTTAATCGGACATACCAATGTGGAGAAATGGTCCACTTCCTTTTTTGACGAAAAATCTACAGGAAGTTGGAATTTTATAGCGTTCTTATTTTTTTAAATTTCAAAAATGTTCAAATTACTCTTTTTGCAAGCACGGACCCCAGGTGCTAGGTGAAAAGATTTGTGCGAATTGGACAAAGCGTGCAGGAGGAACACGAAAAAGTAGTTTAAGGACATTTCGCGCTCTAACGAAAAAAAAATTATAGGCGGAAGTGGGCGTGGCCTATATGGGGAGATTCAGCTCCATTCATGGAACGCGTGGATACAAGGTCTATGAATGTGCAACAAACTTTGCAGAAGTTATTAGCCTAAACGCACTTTTTATGATAGTAGCGCCACCTAGTGGCCAACCCGAAAGCGATGCATAGAATATCCCCATTGTCACCAGGCCTGACAACTTTGCCAAATAAAATTGACTTTTCGTATATGTTCAGGGGGGCAAAAATGCAGTCGAAGGGGGCTAAAAATAATAATAAGAAGAAGAAGCAGAATAGGTAAGAAATCGAGCAAAAACAATAAGGACCTCCAGCGGTCGCTGGCTCGGTCCCTAATAATAATAATAATATCAGTAATATTAGTAATGGCAATCTAGCAGGACCATGGCAGGAGGCTCCACCAGGATCGATGAGAACCTGCGAGACGAGAAAGCACAAGAACTCCGGGGAAGAAGTGAAGTTAGTAACATGCATTAATGGAACATGAATGAGTGCAGAAAGAGAGAGGAAGAGAGGAGCTCAGTGCATTATGGGAAATCCCCCGATAGTCTAGGCCTATAGCAGCATAACTAAGGGATGGTTCAGGACTCACCTGATCCAGCCCTAACTATAAGCTTTATCAAAGAGGAATGTCTTAAGCCTACTCTTGAATGTGGTGAGGGTGTCTGCCTCCAGAACCACAACTGGAAGCTGGTTCCACAGGAGAGGAGCTTGGTAACTGAAGGCTCTGGCTCCTGTTCTACTTTTAGAGACTATAGGAACCACAAATAGCTCAGCATTCAGAGAACGTAGTGTTCTAGAGGGGTAATAGGGTACTATGAGCTGTTTAGGATATGAAGGGGCCTGACCATGAAGAGCTTTATAGGTGAGGAGGAGGATTTTAAATTCTATTCTACATTTTACAGGGAGCCAATGCAGAGAAGCTAGTACAGGAGAGATGTGATCTCTTTTTCTAGTTCCTGTCAGTACTCGTGCTGCAGCGTTCTGAATTAATTGGAGCGTTTTAATATTAATAATAATAATACATTTTATTTATAAGCGCTTTTCTAAATACTCAAAGACACTTTACATAAAAACATAAAAGCAGCAAAACAACATCAAATAGTAAAACATTAAAAACACATCAGACTAAGCTAAACAATAAAAGCAATTTTAAAAAGTTATGTTTTTGTGAGTGATTTGAATGTTGGAAGGTCGGTACAGTCACGGATGTGTTTGGGTAGAGAGTTCCAGAGGGAGGGGGCAGCTACAGAGAACGATCTGTCGCCCCAGGTTCGGTGCTTGGTCCGGGGTGGAGGAGTCAGGAGGTTTGCTTCAGATGAGCGAAGGCTACGGGATGGATTGTGGCGATGGAGCAGGTCAGTGAGGTAGGAAGGAGCCTGGTTATGGAGGGCTTTGTGTGTAAGGAGGAGGATTTTGAACTGAATGCGCTGTGGAACTGGGAGCCAGTGGAGGTTCTGGAGGTTGGGAGTGATGTGATCACGGGTGCGGGTGTGGGTGAGCATACGTGCAGCGGAGTTTTGGATGTACTGTAGCTTATTTAGAGTTTTGGATGGTGTGCCATAGAGGATGCTGTTGCAGTAGTCGATTCTGGAGGTGATGAAGGCGTGGATGAGGGTTTCAGCAGCAGAGAAGGAGAGTGATGGGCGAAGACGGGCAATGTTCTTGAGATGAAAGAAGGCAGTTCTGGTGATTTGGTTTATGTGATGTTCAAAAGAGAGGTTATTGTCAAAGATGACTCCGAGGTTGCGACTGTGGGGGGATGGAGACAGGGTGGAGCTGTCAATGGTGAGGTGGAAACTGTCTGTGGTTTTGGTGAGGGATTTGGGGCCGATAATGATAAGGTCTGATTTGTCACAGTTGAGTTTGAGGAAGTTGGAATGCATCCAGGATTTGATGTCGGTGAGGCAGTTGGAGAGAGTGGAGTGAGTGGCCGGGGTAGAGATATAAAGCTGGATGTCATCGGCAAAACAGTGGAAGTGGAGACCATGGTGGCGAATGATGTTGCCAATGGGGAGCAGGTAAAGTATGAAGAGGAGAGGACCAAGCACCGAACCCTGGGGGACGCCTTGGGACAGGGGAGCAGTGGAGGAGGTGCAGTTGTTGATATGGATGAATTGTTGTCGGTCTGTGAGGTAAGATTTGAGCCAGGAGAGTGCAGTGCCAGTGATGCTGAGAGAGGACTCAAGGCGGGAGAGGAGAATGGTGTGGTTGATGGTGTCAAAGGCTGCGGTGAGGTCCAGGAGGATAAGGATGGTGAGGTGGCCAGAGTCAGCGGAGAGGAGGATGTCGTTGGTGACTTTCAGGAGGGCTGTTTCAGTGCTGTGTTGGGAGCGGAAACCGGATTGAAATGGTTCGAACAGTTCATTTGAGCAGAGGTGGGTTTTGAGTTGTGAAGCTGGAGAGGTGATGTAAGGTGAGACCAGTGGAGCAGACCAGATCCAGGATGTGACCACAGCTGTGGGTGGGAAAGTTGACATGTTGGGTGAAGTTGAAGCAGTGTAGTAGTTCCAGGAATTCAGAGGCAGATTTGCAGTCAGTGTCAATGTGGATGTTGAAATCTCCCAGAAGAAGAACGGAAGGTGAGATGGCAGATAACTGAGTTAGAAAGTCAGAGAAGTCAGAGAGAAAGGAGGGGTTTGGTTTGGGGGGGCGGTAGATGATGGCAGTGACCAGAGAAGTGGGACCAGAGAGTTTGAAAGTGAGGTGTTCAAAGGAGTGAGCAGCAGGGATGGAGATGGTGGATGTTTTGATGTCCTCCCTGTAGATTGCTGCTACACCACCTCCCCGCCCCTCAGGTCGGGGTTTGTCAATGTAAGTGTATCCGGTGGGTGTGGTCTGGTTGAGCAAAAAGTAGTCCAGAGGCTTGTGCCAGGTTTCAGTGATACAGAGGAAATCCAGGTTATTGTCAGTTATGAATTCATTCAGAATGAGACTTTTATTGTTAAGTGAGCGGGTGTTGAGCAAAGCCAGTTTCAGGTGACGTTGCTTCGTGAAGGGTTGAGAGGACCGAGGAAGGGGGCGAGGTTAGATAGGTTCACATGTCGTTTGTTGTGATGACATAATGAGGAAGTTGCGGTGCGTGAGCAGGACCAGATGGATGGGATAGAGTTAGGAGTTGAACAGTTGTAGATGAACATACGACCAGAGCCTCTGTGTTGAGGACGGCGAAGTAGTCCAGTTTCACGGAGGATGTCGATGCAGTCCGGGCGCTGATGGTTGTTGAGTGAGTGGAGGACGGAGGTGGAGTACAGCAGCGGCATGATCCAGGTGTGGAGCGCTAGCACGGAGCTACTGCTAGCTTGTGACCATGAGCCAGGTGTCTGTGGACGGAGCCATATCGTGTACTCCAGAAGAATCCACAGGGTGATCCACAGCATAACCGCAGCAGGCGATCTGTGGTCGGATGATGAGGCGATGAGGAGAGGGGCCCCCGGCCTGCTAGCCCAGAGGACCCGGTGATAAGAGGAGGTCGTCAGCGATGCGGTGGTGGCCAGCGGAGGAAGCCAGCCGAAGCCCGACAGAACTGACCACACCGGGACGGAAAGATCCCGGGAGGACGGGATAATCCGATGAGGAGGAGAGGGGCCGCCGGCCTGCTAGCCAGGAGGTCCAGGTAGGGAGAGGAGGTTGTCAGTCTGATGCGGTGGTGGCGACAATTTTATTTGTATAGCGCAGACAGACAGACAGTTGCACAGCAACAACAGTAGTGACAACTACACTAATAGTAGTGACTAATGATGATGAACATGAAACAGCACCCAGTACCACCACAACCACAGCTTCCAGTACCTCCAACCTCCTCTCACACCGCACATATACAGTTATCCATCTGGACCATTTCCCCACTGATTGTATATATTTTATACATTCTAGATTTATATTGTATTTTATTTGGCTATACATTGCCCTTTGTTGCTGTGCCTTATTTCACCTACAGGGTGATCAGCTGATCATTTATGCTAATGATTAATGATAATTGTCCAACATATGCAGGTTAGCATCAGTCAGTGTAACAGCCGGAGACCCAGACTGAACATTTCTAACATTAAACTTTGTACTCAACATTTCTGGTTCACAGTGGGGAAATATTGTCTGGAAAACAGAACATATTAATTATATGAATATTAATAATATTATTAATTTTAATATCAATATATATATATTGTTGTTTTAGTATCAATAAACTCGTATTGAGACATTAAATTGTCTCCCGGCTCCAGTAATAACACAGTCAGACAGGGAGCTGTTAAAATTATAACTTTATTTTTACATGATAAAAACTGTGTTTGGCCCCTGCCTCTTCACAATAAAAACACATTTCCATTGCAGACGGACTCGTCTTCATCATCATCATCATCTTCAGACAGGTATTTACAGGCACATTTACACACTGTTAGCAACTGTACACACTCAGTAGGAAAGCCCTCTGCTTCAGTACAACTGATCCTGAATTTATACTTTATACAAACCCTTTAAAGTTTTTATTCCCTTGTAGAAAAACGTTCAGTAACAAACAGAGCTCAACCATTCAGAGTTTAGAATCTGTTTCATCATGTCCCAGAAGACTAAAAAACTGTACAGAGATCAGGAGGTCAGAGGTCAAACTGTGACCTCCATTTACATACATCATCAGTGGCAGATTTTAAGCTCCGCCTCTTGTTTTTATTTAAATAAACAAAAGAGTTGAAGATGAAGCACCATAACATCTTCACGTTCATCATCATAACATGCATGCAGAAGTCTAATCTGATCAGAGAACTACAACTACGGGTCAAACACAGGCTCAAAAAACATACAAGGCAAAAACACAGGAGAGACATTGAGATTAAACAGCAATCAGAAATATTAAAGATGAAGAAGAAAAGTACGGAAACTCCGATCAGTCAGCGGGAAGAGCTTGTTTCAAAATCAGACAGTCCGAGTCTGATTTCTTATTGCCTGATGGGGTCAGTCCCAGTCCCGCTCCCAGAGTCCGATTATACTGTAAAACGTACAACACGGTCTAGGAAGTATCCTTTCCCACAGTCCAGGAAGTATTGTGCCAGGAAACAGGAAGTGTCCCACTGGGGAGTCCAGGAAGTATCCTGTCCCACTGTGTGGCTGACAGTAGAGTTTCTCATGTAGATGAAATTAAAATCTGACAGTTCGTCCACACCCACTAAATCCACTTTGTGACAACTTCACACAGAAAATCAACAGCTAAAACAACAAACTGTTGCCATGGAGACACAGCTGATAATCTGCAGGCTGAATCCAAAGCTCCAACCTCTGAGGGATAAACTGTGACCTGTTTCCAGGTCGTAGTCTGGACCGTAGGGCGGTAATCTGCAGAATATGTGCTGATTTGCAGAATGGTGGATATGTACATTAAACACTGATTATTCTTTTACATCATATCGAGTGAAGCCCATCAGTCTGAGCGCGCTCAGATATTTGGGTTCAGCAATGTAGCTTTGCACACGTTAAATCAACAAAACAAGCTAAAAGTGAGAGCTATGATAGCTGTTGATAGCCAAAGGTTTGTGTCCACACACAGTTTTAATACACTGAACCATCGTGTGATGCTATATGTTGCACTTAAACATGCTGGTTGTTGCTGTTTGTTTGTTGATATGACAGGTTTATCCTCCTGAGGAAAACATATATTACATATATAACATATATGACATATCCAGTGTTATAGCCAGCAGCCTCTTTAAAGATATTACACAGTTGTAACATCCTGTCAGTAACATTTGAAGCTGTTTGTTGTTAGCTAGCTAGCAGCTGCTAGCATTAAGGCTAGCCCGTATCATAGTAGCTACGAACAAGTTATAAACGTTAGCATATTTTAATGTGACAGATCATTCTTGATCTTGAAACACAACAGAGTCAACGAGTTAAGATTGTTTTCAACCTAGCATAATGTTATGTGTATGTTATGCTAGCTGTTAGCGAGACTCAGGTTGTTTGGGATCAGTCCGGGGTATCTGGGGTATCTGTACATGATGAGTCAGTGTTTGTGTAAGTCAGTGCTGTTTTCCCTCAATGGTTCAATAAGAGTTAAACATTTAAATTAATTTATCTTCCCATAATGCACTGGGACACAATATCAATTAGGCTACTGTCAAAACAGACAGACAGTGCCACCTAGCTGCAAGAGTGAAGGCACAGCTGGGATAAATAGGTATAAATAGGACTTTGTACACATAAGTTAGTAACCAGCAAACACATTTTAATGTCCTCCCTCAGATTTGTGATTGATCATTGATCAGCTCTTTGTTCATTCAGCAAGTTTAATGTTAAACTAAATTTTCTGTCTGATTCGAGTTTCCTTCTGTTTGAAGAGCAGTGCCTGAAATGGGCCAGTATTGGTACTACTGATGTTTGTCCACATGAGTACCCTTACTTCTTATTGAGTACTGCCTCCTCAGTGAGAATGGCGGTACCCACCACTGAGGTCACCGATGTCTGGACCTCAATATTTTTTCCGAGGCGTATATATACAATAGAAGTTGTGAAATAATTGCCTAAAAATAACTACTTTGATACTTTGATGCCCCAAATCTCGCCTAGCAAGTTCATTATTTATAAAACGCTGCGTACAGCAGCTAGGTACTCAATGGGAAACTGACGCTGTGTTGAATACTTCCGTTAGTACACACTATGTAGTACATTATCCACGCTACGTACTTACTAGTGCAGTAATTATTTTAGCAGTGTAGTTTCACCTTCTTTTTCTAAGGCGACTTACAACCGCACAGCCTTAGCGCTAATACGGATGATTTTTCACTGGATACACGATATAAATCAAAGATGAACCTGCTTCTACTTTCATCTCCTGCGTGTCCCTGTTTCATGCGAGGTGGAAATTACACCGTCTACGCCAAGTCTGTTCTGGTGGTCGCTTTCCTTCCTACGTAGAGAAAATGGTCCCCGCTGAGTGCCAGAAGTGTCCAACATTTTGAGGGTTATGAACCATCTGGGTCCACACAGTGCGTTCTGCCTCACTAACAGCGTGAACTGATGGACTCTTACAGTGAGAGTGTGGAAGGATTCAGACTGACACACAACTTGTGTCTCCGTGTAAACACAGCTAGCTGAATGCTAAGAAGACAGCACTGAAAATGTCCTTGTTAAAAGGATAAAAAACACCCTAAGAATGAGGGTCAGGGTTGTGCTGAAGTACCAGGACTCTACTGGCACCTGTTTTTGGTCCAACTCAGGAACTGCATGTTAGTCAGTGGTTGGTTTATTTCTTTGTTTCAGGAACTAGTCACATCCACTGTTGAGGGAGCTAACAGGCAACATTCCTAGCATCCGCAGAAGAAATGTATTAAAGCTGGCTCACATTTCAAATGTTTTCTACAGAATCAGTTCATTTTCATTTACAATAAATGAAACAATAAAATCTGTAAAAGTCTTTTCCTTTGAGTTCAATTCACACCATCGACCAATAGGAAGCTGTTCTAAAGGAGCAAATGCTACGTTAGCTTATTAGCTGTGGACCTGTGAAGACCTCTACAGCAGATGGTAGAAGGTCTACATTCCCTCATCCTTCTGCTGTGTGCTGATTGGTTGATCAACTGTCCAATAATTTACATCGATACAAACCTGAGAACCCTGGTGAGTCAATGTGGACTCCACCTGAAACTGAGGAAGACTGGAAACGAGTGCGGGACGGGGTCCTGAGGTTGTGAATTTACCTGGAGAGTTCCAGGCAGCAGATTAATAATTAATATTATTATTCATTCATATTAGAATCAGAAACTGGAATCAGACTGAAAATGTAGAAACTCTCCCTGATTATTGCGTTTAGAGTGCTGGTTTCAGTAGAAAAGGCAAAAATACTTTCGATAAAAAGCATCCAGCAGGTCAATAATCAATACTAGAAGAAAGAAGAAAATATTAACATTGTGCTTTCTGACTCCTGCAGACAGCAGGGAACTCTGGGAAATAGCTCAAGGCAGCAAGTGATGATGATGTTCCCTGATCTAATTGATAGATTGTCGTTTTCTGGAGCCAGGTTGGTCCAGGTTCAGGTCTGGTTCAGGTCTGATTCAGGTCTGGTTCAGGTCTGATTCAGGTCTGGTTCAGGTCTGATTCAGGTTTGGTTCAGGTCTGGTTTAGGTCTGGTTCAGGTCTGGTTCAGGTCTGATTCAGGTCTGGTTTAGGTCTGGTTCAGGTCTGGTTCAGGTCTGATTCAGGTCTGATTCAGGTCTGGTTCAGGTCTGATTCAGGTTTGGTTCAGGTCTGGTTTAGGTCTGGTTCAGGTCTGATTCAGGTCAGTTTGGGGTTATTTTGCTGCTGCAGAAGGAACCTAAAGAGCTCCTGAGTCTGACTATAAAGACCTCGTACACACACACACACACACACACACACACACACACACACACACAGGAAGACACAGTGTTAACAAGAAGTCTCTCAGAGCTTCTTCATCCTCCTCTTCCTCAGCACAGGCTCAGGGTCAGAGATCATCAGAGGTCAGTGACCTTGTTCTCGACCAGGGCAGCGACCTGCTGCAGCCGATAGGCCAACTGCATCTTCTGCCCCGAACTGTCTTCCTCCAGAGACATGATGATCTGACAGACAGGTACAGAGAGAGAGACAGGTACAGACAGACAGATGTATAAATGTAGATTTGTTACTTCTTATTGTTGGACGAGTTGATTATGATGTGATTATTTTATAATAATTGTTATTATGTCATTATTAAAATATTAATATTTGGGTATAAAGTTTATAAACCGTGTGTGTGTGTGTGTGTGTGTGTGTGTGTGTGTTACCTGGTCGTAATATTTGTTGATGTATTTGTAGAGTTCATGAAGAGCAACAAGACTGTTCATCTCTGAGGCAAAACTCTACAGACAGACAGACAGACAGAACAACAGGAGACAGACAGACAGAACGACAGAATTAAGTCAATGTCAAGGGGACATGAGCCAATTTATGACCTATACAGTAGCCAACCAACACAGGATGGAGATAATAAGTCAGTCATTTCTTAATTATTTTTGGACTTTGGACTTTGCTTGCAATGAACAAAATGTCCTGTGATTCAAATCACCAAATAAATATAAAGTTCATGAAATCCATAACTAACCCCTAAAAAAAAAAAAAAAAGAATTAAGTCAATGTTAAGTTTCCTTAAATAAAAACAACAATATTAATAACAATAACAATAATAATAACATGTAGTTCAGTTTCTGTTTACTTACCCCGGACAGTTCAGTCAGAGTAGAGTTCATCTCCTGATAACAGCCAGACGCAGCGCTGTGGATGTCACTGTAATACCTACACACACACACACACATTAGTACAGTAAGATACAATGTGACTGATCCTAGACAGTTAGTGTTTCTATGGTAACAGTCGTCATGCTGACCATGTTAAACTAAGGAACAGGAAATTGTCTCACCTCTCCACCAGCTGTTTGTATCGCGGTATCTCTCTGGCATACAGCAGTTTGTTTACAGGAGAGTCCTGATTGGACAAAAAGAGTTAATACATGTAGAGACAGACAGACAGACAGACAGACAGACAGACAGGTCGTACCCGTCCCACTTTGTGCTCCGAGGTAGTGCAGGAGTCGATGAAGGTCTGAGCGATGACAGACAGGACAGCGTCAATGCTGTCTGTCACCTGAACGTCCAAAACAAACTGAGGATTCTTCAGGATGTTCACCCAGAACCTGAGAGGGAGACTGCAGAGAGACAGACAGGTCAGAAAGACAGAGAGGTCAGAGAGACAGACAGGTGACATGTGTGCATCTCACCTGTTGGTCTTCCAGATGTGGACAGTCTCTGGGTCGTCGATGCCGTGTTTCTCTGCCATGTCGTCCAGGAAGTCAAAGAAGAATCTGACGGCGATAGGAGGAGGACGCTTCGTACTGAGGATCGCCACAAAGACGTCGTCCACGAACTTCTGCAATGTCCCCTATGGACAGGTAGAGAGAAAGACATGTTGTAGCTTCATGGACAACAGTGGTCAGGTAAATCTCAGGTGCGTTAATGTGTTACCTTCATGGACAGCAGTCTGGTCAGGTAAATCTCAGGTATGGCCTTGGCTCGCTCTCTCTCCCTCATGCTGCTCTTTCTGTGTTTTGGGATTTCAGGATCTTCGCTGCTCTTCACCAGGTGCCACAGACGCAGACCCTCCTCCTCCTCGCCCTCCAGCATCGGCGTTTCTACGGCAACCACACACAAACTATCAGTCATCACAATAACCAATAGGAAAACACCGGTGGGAGGAGAACCATTGTATCTGATAAAAACCACAGAGGTTTTCTTCTGGATGTTCCTGTGCATTCACCCTGAATCCTCTCTGTCTGTAATTCTGGGTTCTAGATGCTAGACGGTTCTCTTTGTGTTGATTTGTGGGTATCCAACACATTCTCAATGTCTCAGGGGTTCTAGAGGTTTCTTTGGGTTCATAATGTTCTAGATGAGTCAGGTTCTAACGTACCGGAACCCTAACCCGAACGATTTTCATGCTAATATTCGATATGAATTCCCTTTAACTACTAAGTTAAATGATCATGTAATGGTTTCGGTTGATTTTAAGGTGCTAAAGTAAAGACGAACTTCTTACCTTTCTAACCGTGTATCGTTTTAAACATTTACTTTTGCTCGGTCTTTACTAGAGTCGGTAAAAGGATGCTAACACCGGTGATTTAGCCGTGAGCTGCCGGTGTCCCGAGTCGAACGGCAGCGTCCGCCCGCTGTAAACATTGAACGCTGCCGGTGTTGTGGGGGTATTAAGTTGTTCCTGAGACTGACAAACTAACATCAACTCATCTGGGATCGTACTTTCCTCCTTCAAAATAAGATACAATGCTTTAACAAGTAACAACTCTAATTTATGCAGTTATACCGCTATACCGCCACCTACTGGATATTTTGTTAAACACTTCTCATTTAAAATACAAGCTGATGCATTTAATTTAGCAATTATTTAACAATTACCTGTAATGGACTCAGTGCAGAGTTAGTATGTAGCATAATATAACAAATAAATGTTCATGCATACAATTATATTATTTAATCAAAAGACAAATGACATGACATGAAAAATATTTTACTAAATTGAAAAACAGCAATATTTACAATATATACAATATTTACAATATATACAAACAAATAGATATCGGATAATCAAATTAAAAACAAATTAAATAACAAACTTATCAAACATATCAAGGCACCAAAAACACCAAAATTCATCTTTGTCCAGCTCCTCCCAGCCGACACAAATGGTGTGAAACCATTTGGCACATTTGTTGCACTGGACCCACGGCACCAATCCCTCCGAGCAGACACCCGGAGGGTCAGGTTCCCTGCACTGGCCACACAGATCTTCCATATTGGTGTGACCTACTCATAGAAAAAATATATTTAAGAACATGTTTTGAATATCATGGGATGGCACACAAAGACTGTTAATGTTAAATACAATACCAGTGGATGCCGTGGGTCCAGCAGACGGCTGGGAGGAGCTGGACAATGGCGCAGCTGTCTGTCTGCAGGCTGTATAAACAAGATGACGTGTTGTTTACTCATCATCATCCCTAATATCACCAGCATCTTAGGACATTGCTTGTTTTTATCAATGATATAAAGCATTTACATTGGGAGGGAGAGGAAGACAATCTGGACCCTCGGAGGCCGAAGGCAGATGTTGATGGCTCTAAAAGAAAAATCATATTTTAGTATTACAACAAAATTATTTCTCAAAGCTGTATTAAAATTGCAGAGGAAATAATAAAAAAAACATGTGCTTTACCATCCAGTAGCCAGCCAGGTGCAGGCAGGCTAGGTGGGGATGTTCCGCTAGGGGCAGGCAGCTGGTGACCGTGGGAGGCACTAGAGGGGGCCGAGCGGGTTGAGGGACCGGCGATGGAAAGGCCGGAGCAGGAGGCCGAGGCAGCCCCGTGGGATGCTGTTCTGTGGCTGGGACGGGAGCCACCAGGCAGGGTAGAGGAAGTGGCTGTCGGGCCGTTGTTTTCGGCCCGCCGCTGCTCTCTGGCCAGAGCTTGGGCCTCCCGCCTTGCAGCACGGTCCTCCGCCTCCTCGATGGCATCAGACATCTCCTGAGCCGTCAGTATCCTGGCCTTGGTGGTATTCCTCTTGACCTTGGTGGTATTATAACGCACCTCGGGCAGGAGGTGGGCCAGGTCTACTGAGATCCTGCCTGATGTTACCAGGGGATGGGTAGAGTAGGGATTGGGTGGACAAGGGACAGGGGGTGGACAAGGAACGGGGGTGGACACGGGACAGGGGGTGAACTAGGGACAGGGGGTGGACTCTGGTGTGGGGGGGGGTGTTGGGATGGGGGGGTAACATCAGGCATGGCCCAGGAAGATGCTGATGGGGTTGGCAGAGGTGGCGAGGAGGTCCCACGCCGCGGTCCGGATGGCATGACCCGTGACCAATGGCTTCCGGGTCCAGAGGGTAGAGGCCACACTTCCTGAACCCAGCCACCACCACTCCCCGATCCTTCACCCTCTGATATGAGTCCCTAAGGACCCTTGAAAACTCCTTCTTGGAAACCAAGGAGTGGCTCATTACCGACAGATCTCCTGTAATTCCAGAGAAATCTGCCTTCAAGGGTCCAAAGAAACTCATATCCAGAGGCTGCAGGATGTGAGATGTGTGTGGTGGAAGGCACAGGAGAATGACCTCCTCCCTCTGTGCCACCCGGACCAGCTCTGGATCCAGGTGGGATTTGTGCCCATCAAAAACAAGCAGCAGCGGGCGCTCCTCAGCGGCGAACTTCAGGAAATGCCCGACAAACCACTTCCTGAACAGCTCACTGTCCATGTACCCTGCCGGTGACTTCCCGTAGAGGGCATCGGGGACCCCCTCCTTGTTATAGGGCCCCCCGGGATATCCCCCCTTGTAAATTATGAAAGGGGGGATATCCTCCCCAGCTGCGTTGAGGCAGGCCAGGACGGTGACGTGGTCCCTGGTCCCCTGGGCCTGCCTGTAAGCATGTTTTGTCCCCCGGGGCACGAGGACCTTTCTTCTCGACGAGTCCAGCTGAAACCCCGTCTCATCGCAGTTATAGACTTGACGGGGTTTCTCCCTCAACCCGTGCTCCTCCATGGTGGTAGTGAGGAGCCTGAAGTAATCTTCAATCGGCCCCCTCTTGGCACAGGATGCCCTCCCACGGTCAATATTGTCTGGGGTCCGAGAAGTGAAGCGCTGGCCTTGCCTCCTGCGGAAGTTGAGCCACCCCGTCTGGCCCAACTTCCCCCTTCTCTCTTCTGGACAGCGCTGATTATAAATTGCTGTCGCAAAAGACTGAACCTGAGGCTTTATCAGTGGAAAACCATGACTGGCAGAGTAAATGCAGTACTCCACCAGGGAATCTTCATCTGCAGGGGTGAGAAGTGGCCTCTGACTGTGCACACAGTCAGACTCGTTTTTGGGACCCCAAACTGTTTGGCTGCCTGCCCCAGACTCAGCCTGCCTGCTTTCACCTCCTGGATGGCCTCTCCCATGGCCTCCGGGGTCCACTTCCTCGTCTTCCTCTCCCTCTGGGGCAGCTGTCTGATGTTAGGCATCTAAAAGAGGCATATTATTTCAGAAATTACAGTAACATTTTTATAGGTATTTCATTTCATGTTGCATCAACAAGCACAAATGAATTTATCACATGCTAACTCACAAATATACTTACCTTAAACCAAAGCATTGTTTTTAACCATCTTGATGCACCTGTAAAGGAATAAAAGCAAATCTCTCTCTCACACACCCACACCCCTTGCCTACCTTATGTCTCTCTCTCTCTCGTATTCTCTCTCTCTTTCTCTCTCTTGTCTTCTCTCTCTTTCTCTCACTTCCCCTCTCTCTCTCACTTCTTCTCTCTCTCTCTCACTTCTTCTCTCTCTCTCTCACTTCTTCTCTCTCTTTCTCTCTTGTCTCTTCTCTCTTTCTCTCACTCGTCTTCTCTTTCTCTCTTGTCTCTTCTCTCTCTCTCACTTCTTCTCTCTCTTGTCTTCTCTCTCTTTCTCTCACTCGTCTTCTCTTTCTCTCGTCTCTTCTCTCTCTCTCACTTCTTCTCTCTCTTGTCTTCTCTCTCTTTCTCTCACTCGTCTTCTCTTTCTCTCTTGTCTCTTCTCTCTCTCTCACTTCTCTCTCTCTCTCTCTCTCTCTCTTCTTCTCTCTCTTGTCTTCTCTCTCGTCTTATCTCTCTTCTTCTCTCTTGTCTTCTCTCTCTTTCTCTCACTTCTTCTCTCTCGTCTTCTCTCTTTTCCTCTCTCTCTTTCTCTCACTTCCTCTCTCTCTTTCTCTCACTTCTTCTCTCTTTCTCTCTCTTGTCTTCTCTCTCTTCTTATCTCTCTCTCACTTCCTCTCTCTCTCTCACTTCTCTCTCTCTCTCACTTCTTCTCTCTCTTTCTCTCTCTTGTCTTCTCTCTTTCTCTCACTTCTTCTCTCTCGTCTTCTCTTTTCTTCTCTCTCTTTCTCTCACTTCCCCTCTCTCTCACTTCTTCTCTCTCTCTCTCTTCTTCTCTCTCTTCTTCTCTCTTGTCTTCTCTCTCTTTCTCTCACTTCTTCTCTCTCGTCTTCTCTCTTTTCTTCTCTCACTTCCTCTCTCTCTCTCTCACTTCTTCTCTCTCGTCTTCTCTCTTTTCTTCTCTCTCTTTCTCTCACTTCCTCTCTCTCTTTCTCTCACTTCTTCTCTCTTTCTCTCTCTTGTCTTCTCTCTCTTCTTCTCTCTTGTCTTCTCTCTCTTTCTCTCACTTCTTCTCTCTCGTCTTCTCTCTTTTCTTCTCTCTCTTTCTCTCACTTCCTCTCTCTCTTTCTCTCACTTCTCTCTTTCTCTCTCTTGTCTTCTCTCACTTCTTCTCTCTCGTCTCTTCTCTCTCTCTCTCTCACTCACTCGTCTTCTCTTTCTCTCTCTCTTCTTCTCTCTCTTTCTCTCTCTCTGTTGTCTCTGTTCTCAGACAGAAACACAAGAGCAAAATTGAGTTTCAACACTACTGTTTTTATACATAAGGAGGTGTATCTATATAACCAATATTTTCTACCATAAAAGCCTCTACTGGCTTTCGACACATCTCTCACACCCCTCCCTCTCTCTCTCTTACTCACACGCACACACCAATAATATATCAATTATTACATGATGACATCATGATAAAAAATATACTTTATTTATTTTAGCTTATAAACAAGAAAATACATCTGAATAGCTAATTTGAACCTTATTTTTGCAATAAATCTTCATGTGTACTGTGATACTTCACAGCTTAAAAAAACAATGCTGCGCTTGCTCTGTTCCTTTGTTCTCCTTTCCCGCGTCTGTAACTTTTTCAATTTCAATAAAAAAATTTGGCCTCCGCCCACCTCGACCACAGACTGTATAAACACAAATCCGACATTTTATTAGCTAGACTAATCAGTGTAAACCTAGCTACGATATGTACCCATATGAGAGCTTATTTTAAGCTGTAAAGTGAAAATAGAAATGGACTTTTAAAGTTGACTGGATCGTCGCCCAAGCGCAATCTAAGCGTTCCCGTGGCTTCCCCTCATTAAAGTAACTTTCATATAATAATTATACATGTAAATGTTGATGTATATTTATGAAAAACCACATATAGACTCTGTAAAATGTAGAAATTCCTTGGACTTACGTTAGATGGCGATCGTGTGCCGGGAAGTACCGCGAAAAGACCGGAAACTGCATCAAGCCGGAAGTCGTTCGGGTCACGACGCCGGCAAAATCAGCGTTCGGGTTAGGGTTCCGGTACGTTATATGGTATTTTTTGCATTGGTTCTGGCTCTAGACATTCTCTCCATGTGCTGGCTCTGGGTTTCAGATGTTCTTGATGTGGTTCTGTTTGTGTTGTTTTAATAGTTCTAGATTAATTGGATGTGCTGTGTTCTTACTTTCTCCTGTCTGGAACACCTGGTTGACTCCACCTGAACTCTGAGAACGAGGAATTAGGGCAACTGTCGCTCCGTCTGGAACCTGAAGAATGCAAGAGAGCAGTTTCATGTTTAACTGGCAGGAAGTGAAGATGAGGAAGGTGTATAAGAAGAGAGGGTTAGTGATTGGTCAGTTGTTACCTTGTAGTGCTGAAGAGTGTTGAGTCGTTTCCAGCGACCTTGAACCACCGCTGTGACATCATCATCTGACAGGGTCAGGTGACCTGCCTGACCTGAACGCCACTCTGTCAATCAAACAGAGACACAGGTGAGTATGAGCTGTCAATCAAACCACACAGGTGAGACAGGTGTGTGTCCATGTGTGCGTACCCAGATCTAGACTGTCTGCTGCTGGTCTCTGAGAGAATGGAGCTCCTCTGTAGACCTGATCTAGGATCTTATCCTTCACCTGCACACAGACAGACAGGCAGAGAGACAGACAGGTAGGTGACAGGAAGAGAGACAGATGAGGAACAGACAGGTAGACAGACAGGAACCTACCTGTGTGATAGTGTCAGTGTCGAGAACTTTAACAGGACAAGGTTGAACTTCAACTCCGTTCTTCACCAACACTGTCAGAGTCTGAAAGACAGACAGGTACAAAAAGGTCAAACAGGTGTTGACACATAGAGATGAAAAGGTAAACAAACACCCTGACCTCAACCAGGTGAGTTTGGACTTATACAACCAGGTGTGTTGTGTGACTTTCTACATAACAATAGCTTATTTGAGGATATTCAGTCAGGATTTAGAGTTCATCACAGCACAGAGACAGCTCTGGTTAAAGTTAATAATGATCTTTTAATTACAATTATATCTATTAATCAAGCCCAATGAAATTAACCAGTTATCTAAATTACAAACATGTCTTAAGGACATAAAAACCTGGATGAGCTGCAATTTTCTGATGTTAAACTAGTACTAGTACTTGGCCCTAAAAACTTCAGAGACTCACTGTCTAAAGATATAGTTACTCTAGATGGCATTACCTTGGCCTCTAGCACCACTGTCAGGAATCTTGGAGTTATCTTTGATCAGGACATGTCATTAATTCCCACATAAAGCAAACATCTAGGACTGCCTTCTTTCATTTACGTAATATTACAAACATCAGACATCCTGTCACAGACAGATGCAGAAAAACTAATCCATGCATTTGTTACTTCTAGGCTGGATTGTGGATCTGAGGAAGTCCAAGGCTCCACTGATCCCTGTTTCCAACAAGGGGGTCAGTGTAGACACTGTGAAGGACTACAAGTACCTGGTAGTTGACAATAAACTGGACTGGGCTAAAAACACTCTACAGGAAGGACCAAAGCCGTCTCTATTTTCTGCTGAGGCTGAGGTCCTTCAACATCTACAGGACCATGCTAAGGATGTTCTATGAGTCTGTGGTGGCCAGTGCTAACAGACTCAATAAACTGATCCACAAAGCCAGTGACGCTGTGGGAGTGGAGCTGGACTCTTTGACAGCAGTGTCAGAGAGGAGGATGCTGTCCAAGCTTCATACCATGTTGGACGATGTCTCCCACCCACTCCACAATAAACTGGTCAAACACAGGAAGACTTTCAGTGCGAGACTGATTCCACCGACTTGAACCACAGAGCGGCACAGAAGAGTCATTCCTGCCTGTGGCCATCAAACTGTTTAACTCCTCCCTGAGAGAGTCAGTCAATAAAGTATTTCTGATTCTGATTATTTGAAAAGTGACCTGAGATAATTTCTTATATAAATACAAATAAAATTGAATAGTGTGTGTATGTTTCCGTGGTTACCATGGCGCAGTAGTCGATGTCCTCTCTCAGCAGGTGGCTGTCGTTCAGCGTCCGTTTGGCTTTTCCCGTAACAGCGTCCACCGGCCCTTTATCCACCTGATACTTTATGGCTCTGTAGAGCATGTAGAGAGGCTCCCCGGCCACCTCCTGACAGACAGACAGACAGACAGACAGACAGACAGACAGGTAAGGGTGAGACAGACGGGGGTAGCAACTGAAGACAGAGACAGGTTAGTGTTTCTACAGACAGACAGACCTTGAGGAAGGAGTAGAGGCAGATCGACATCCAGTTGGTCAACATCTTCTCTACAACTGTCTCTGTCCTGAAACACAGAAAACAACCATCAGCAGGACAGACAGACAGACAGGGAGATGCACAGACAGACAGACAGACAGCTGCCAGGATCTGATTCAATAAATGAAACGATTTAGATAAATCCTGATCTACGACTCTGTTTTGTTGGAGGTTGGTTAACAGGATTGTCTTCAAAAAACGCTAAATGGTTTGAAAACTAATAGAAAGTGTCCAGGTTGATGGTTTATTTTTATAGCTTTTTTAAATATAAAAAATGGTGTCCCACAAGGGTACATACATGGTCCTATTTTCTTTACAATTTATATCAGCAATGTTACCAATATTTAGTTTTTATGAAAAACTGATTTTAAGGATTTTTTGTGGACTGAGACTAAATTGTTCTAATTGCCGACAAAACCAAAAGGATGTGATTCTCAAGGTTTAAGACTGATGATGGAGTAAATCAGATTGTTACTTTAAGTGACTGAAAGAGTCTCAAACAACAAATAATTGGGCTTTATGTAGATATTTTATACCTGCATTCAGTGTACCAGGCTGCATTACGTTTCGTTTCTGATTTGGGTTTTCATATCATTGAAGTTTATATGAGAGAGTTGGTTCCTTATACTGTGGTAGAAAGGAGCACTGTTACGTCCATATTACACCAGCTTCCTTCTTATTTCTGGTCTCAACTGACTCTATCAGCAGTTGTAACCTTCGATCGCAGGGATTCAATCTGTTTATTATTCCTCGAGCCCTGTCTGTGGTGGAAGTGCTTTACTCACTTACTGTGAGCTACAGAGTCACTTTAAAATATTTTAAACAATTATTTTATAAAAATGGAAGATAACAGAAACAGATTTAGAGACTACTTGTACCCTTCCTGAATACTTGATGTCATTTACTGCTTGTTTTAAACCTGTTCCTTGTTTTATGTACAAAGTATTATGCTGTTTCATTGTTTTATCGTTTATCTGAAACTTTATGCTATTGTCTTGGCCATGAAAAATTTGATTTGTTTTATGTACCGGCGCAGCATCAGTTTGGGGTTCTTGGCGACGTACTGCTGGACCAGGTCTTGCAGCAGACTCTTCATGACCTCGGTGAAGTACTCCAGTTTGTCGTGCAGGGCCATGGTGAGCAGACTGGCTACGTAGCCCCGGTCCCTCTGAGAGAATCCCTGCTGGGCCTCCAGAGTGTGGATGAACTGAGAGACAGACACACAACAAACCATCACCTGCACGTCCATGTCTCTCCTGATCTGAGATCAGGTTAAAGCAGCATTAAATGACCTTCCTCCTGTCCCCCGACCCACCCTGGTGAGGAAGAGTCTGTTGTTGAGCAGGTTGTTGAGCTGCTGGAGACCCTGTTCCACAGTCTGCCTCCTGGACTCCGGCAGGTCCAGCTGGCGGCTCAGCGGTGCCACTTGCTGGCCAGGGAAGAAGACTCTCTCTGCATACGTCCTGTAGTCCAGCAGGGGGAGTCCTGGTCCTCCAACATCACTGCTCAGGTCCATCATCTCTGTCATCAGGTCTAGACAAGAAGAAGAGGACGTTACAGCTGTAGACCGCCTCAAAGTTTGATTCGGTGCTTGTTGCACCCAACCCGACTCCTGCTGCCCATATCCTGAAGAGTCCAGACCAGATAAACTGAGGCCACATTTATAAAACTTCTTAAATACTCGAACTGAGACTGCATATTTCTGATGGTGTGCTTCATCAAAGAGGCTGCAGTACCTCTACACAACCATCAGGGATGCCACTGAGTCTTATTATTCTCTTAAAGACCGAAGATCAGATCAGAGTTTAAACAATAACTACTGACTACTGATTTTCTGATCAGTCATACTGAAGAAGTCTTCAAGTGTGAGGTTGAACTGATGTACATTGACCTTTACTGACCTTTAACCCTAAACTGGTAAAACTGTAAGTCTGATGATTGACTGATGATTGATTGACTTTATGTTCTTGATGAAGTAGAAATAATGAATGAACATTTGAAGAGTCAGAACTATTGTTAGTTGTTGTGTAAACAATAGTTAGATTAGAACAGAGCTATTGAATATTAAATCAACCATCCTCAAGGGGTGGCTGTGTCTCAGGAGGTAGAGCACTTTGTCCACTAATCAGAAGGTTGGAGGTTCAATCCCCGGCTCTCTCTGCTGCATGCTGCTATATAAGTACAGTCCATTTACCATCCTTGCTACCTGCACTTGAGCCTTTATTATCATCAAGAGTGCAGAAACTGCAGGTTATCAACTTATTTTAAAATGCAACAATGTGAAATTATCAGTTATCTTATCAGCTGGAAAAATACCAATATAGTTCATCCCTAGTGATTTTAGTCTATGCATTGTGGATGAGACTGTGGGTTATGTTTAGTTTTTTTGGTGGGGGAGGTAGAGTTAGGGTTAGGGGGTTGTAAGGTGAAGGGTCAGGGGTTAGGGTGGGTTTTGGTGTGTGTTTGTGTACCAGTGAACTCTTTGCGGCACTGGTCTCCCACGTTGATCTCCAGAGTTTCCAACTGCAGCAAAACCTTCTTATAATCTCTGAGAGCCTGTTTACTCTTCCTCCTAAACACACACACACACACACACACACACACACACACACACACACAAACACACACAGTGATTGTGATCAATATAAAAACTGTTGGCGACTCCTCACAAACATTTTAAATAAAAAAAGCTACGTGTATGCAGTATTTCACTCAGTGGAAACGTTATAAAACTTCAATAGAGAATACGGAATAAATACTGTCAAACAAAAGAAGAAAGTGTTTGTTTAAGGGTTAAAATTTAAAAACAAGACAGACAGACAGACAGACAGACAGACAGGTACCTGTACATGAGGATGACGACCAGCACTGACAGGATGATGACAGCTGCTCCCGCCCCCAAACCAATCTGAGCAGCCAATGGGACGGGAGACAGCAGAGAGTCACTGTCATACTGAACCAACCCCAGGTCCACATGCAGGTTTCCCATGAACACCTGAGAAACAGACAGACAGACCGACCAAAAATCACTTACAGTAAATATATAATAATAATTAATTAATAAAGTATATCTATCTATCTATCTATCTACTACGTAAACTGTATACATACATATGTAGATATTTACCTTGAGGCTGGGCAGCTCGTTGCCTTCGTCCACACTCATTGGTTGGATCTCTGGAGGTTCACAGTACAGGTGAGTGTTGTCCAGAGTTTTCACTTCACACTCCTGGTCCCCGAGCCAGGCTGTAACTTCCTGTCTGGATATGGCTCTGGTGAGGTGCTGGCCCTGAGGGATGGACACATAGTCAGGTCTTACGGAGTCTGTCAGTGAACTGGTTCACAGAGTCCAGTAAAGAGGTTTACCTCCACAGCGATCACTCCTCCTGGTTTGAATGGATACGGAGCATCCGGAGCTTCTCGATTCAGAGGGAAAAACTCTGGGTTTGGATAGTAGGTGAAGCTTTTACCCTGAGCGACAGGCAGGCAGACAGACAGACAGGTGGACAGACAGACAGACAGGTTTATCCATCAGACTGTCAGTGATCAATTGTACTGTAAAGCTTCATTCACACTGTTCTGTTAACAACATACAGTCTGTATCTCTGTGTGGCTAATTTTTTACCTCCTCAGTAATAACTGACTCTTCCTAAGCCTTGCCCCTTTCTGCTATCTATTATATTTATTATTATTATATCAGTATATATAATTATATAATAATAATATATATAATTATATTTATTATTATTATTATATCAGTATATATAATGATATAATAATAATATATTATTATATATAATGATATAATAATATATCATTATATATATAAATACATATAAATATATATATTTATATATAATTATATTTGAATATATAATTCTATAAATACATATATATAAATAATAATTATATAAATATAGTTATGAATACATATGAATACATATAATTATATAAATATAGTTAGGAATATATATAAATGTGTCTTATCTTTGTACCATCTTCAGATCAGATCTTAACAGCACATCACAGACAGACAAGTACAGAGACAGACAGGTACCTTGATGCTGTCATAGTGGACTCTGACGTTATCCAACTGAAACCACACCCCCTTCACTTTGACCTCTGATGTCACCTTGGGGGTCGGACAGGTCATCTGAGAGGACGACAGGACAGAGCAGCGTTCCGAAACCTGAGAGACAGACGGGTAGAGAGACAGACAGGAGAGAGAGAGACAAGAGGGAAGGCAGACATGAAGAGAGAGGCACAGGTGGAGGGACAGACAGGTAGAGTAACTTTCCAAATTAAAAGCATTTTTCAGGCTCAGATGACCTTTGACCCTGCGTCTGATTGGCCGGTTGGTCTCACCGTTGTCATGGTGCTGTTGAAGATCAGCTGCTGTTTAGCGGTGAGCAGAGCCAATCGTCTCCTCCGTTTCACCCTCTGGACCTCCAGAGGCTCCACCCACACTGCTATGATTGGCTGCTGGACGACATCCAGGTTTCTGCCCGTCACCATGACAACGCGCCCGCCTCTGAGCACAGGAAGTGGTCACATCATTAGGACGCTGTTTGAGTTATAAGATGATTGATTATCGGTGACAGGTGTTTCTTACGCGTAGAAGCTCTCTGCGGGCGTGGCGTCAGTGATGGCGGGGTCGTCAAGGTAACGGAAGGTAACGCTGGGAACCGTTCTCTCCGCCTTACCAAACAGAACCCGAACCGGGACTCCACCAGTCTGATTACTGGAACCAGTCTGACACACCAGCTGGGTGTCGTTCACCTCCTCCACACTAAGGGGAGAGGAGGAGAGGAGGAAGAGGAGAGGAGGAGGAGAGGAGGAGGAGAGAAGGGGAGGAGAGGAGAAGAGGTGAAGAGTAGAGGAGAGGAGGAGAGGAGGAGAGGAGAGGTGGAGAGGAATTGAGGAGAGGAGAGCAGGAGAGGAGAGGTGGAGAGGAGAGGAGAGGAGGAGAGGAGGAGAGTAGAGGAGAGGAGGAGAGGAGAGGTGTGGAGGAGGAGAGGAGGGGAGAGGAGGAGACGAGAGGAGGTGAGGAGGAGAGGGGGAGAGTAGAGGAGAGAAGGAAAGGAGAGGAGAGGAGAGGTGAGGAGGAGGAGAGGAGGAGGAGAGGAGGGGAGAGGAGGGGAGAGAATTAACACACATTTTATTGGACTTTTCTATCACAATAACATCATCACTTTAGAGCTAAAGAAAACAAAAGAAAACAAACCAAAGAAACAACAAAAATACATAAATATAAAAACACACAGAGCATAAAACCCCCCGAACAGCCCATATGTGACTGAAGGCCTGCATATTGTCCACCATCTGATGGTAAGCATGTTCCACCCTCAGACGGGCCTTCAGCAGTCCCTTCAGAACTCAAAAGAAAATTCTTCCCCCAGACCCAGAAACCACCTGTTTAAAAGCTGGAACAGCGCCGACAACCGAGGACACTGAACAAATATATGAAACAAGGTCTCAGTCTGACAACAGAACACACAGTCCTCCCCCTGCACTGGATCCAGGTGCACTCTGTATCTGTTTGTGGCTACTGCCCCCTGTACAACCCTCCACTGGAGGTCTGCTGTTCGCTTTTCAGCGGGCAGCTTGTACAGGGACCGCTAGCTGCCTTTCGGGGAAGCGTCTGGACCAAAAAACTCAGTCTACCTTGACTCCTTCATCCCTACCAAAGAGCGTAGGTTCAGAACCTTGACGCAGACCTGATAAACTGTCTTCTTCCCTGCATACTGAAACTTGTCCAGCTGAGGAGTTATGAGAGACAGCAGCTCACCTCCTCCCTCCTACCTGTCTGTTTGTTGAAAAACAGAGGTTCTTCAAACAACCACATACCCAGAATGTCGTTTGTGCCACGTTTGGTCTTAAAGATCTGCCAAGCCTGCAACACCGAGCTGTAAAAAGGTGTCAATCCAGTCAGATCCAGGTCCTCGGGCCGTAGAAGGGAGAGCTGTTTATCGTAGCCCAAACGCCCAGCTCTCCTCAGCAGCAGGCGAGCTGTATCAAACCAGCTTGGGCCACAATCGTATAGTAGTCTTTTTGTAGTCTGTATTCTAAAGGAGGCGATCTTAGACTGGATGTTGATCAGTCCCTGACCTCCTTCAGCCACAGGCAGATAGAGGGCTGCAGCCCTGATCCAGTGCTGACCAGACCAGAAAAAGTCAAGGATGGCTCTCTAAACGTCCTCCATCAGGCGTCTTGGTGGTGTCAGAGCGATGAGTCTGTGCCACAGAGTCGAAGCGACCAGGTTATTAGCCACCAGAACTCTTCCCCTATATGACAACTGGGGTAGCAAACATTTCCATTTAGCCAACTGAGTGCACACTTTCTCCTGAACTCCCTCCCAGTTCTTTACCTGAAAGCCCTCGGTGCCCAAAATTACTCCCAGCACTTTCAGACCCCACTCAAGTCCCCCAGGCAGACTGGGCACTGCCTGGTTCCTCCACTGCCCCATCAACAAAGCCTCACTCTTTGCCCAGTTCACCCGTGCAGATGAGGCCTTTTCATACAGCGACAGGGTGTCCTTCAAATATTGAACGTCCTCCTGATTGGTGACAAATTTTTTTACATCATCTGCATAAACAAAATCAGTAGGAGGACGATCAAGATTGATCCCGCTGTACAGGGAGTGGCCGACTCAGCCCTGCCCCCATCTTACAGCACCGCTGTACGATAAACCACCCAAGCCAAAAAACCCTCACCAATGCCAAAAGCCCTAAGTGCAGAACACAGGATTTTCCACTGCTGCCAAAAACACTCAAAGCTCTGGCAGAAAGTACTATCTTGTAGAAGTTTGTTATTAAAGAACCAGTAGGATTTAACCCTTTCAGCTGGTGAAATGATCAACTCCGTGATGATGAAATGGTGATCAGAAAAGCCAACTGGACTTATGTTTCTGTGAATTAGTCTGGAGCTGAGACTGAGAAATGTAGATCCTGTCCAGTCTCGCTGCCCTCACCCTGTTATTACTGACCCCTTACCCATGTGTATTGTCTGGATTGTGGATGTTTGACCCTCCGTGTGTTTAACAGATCAAGCTGTGTGATGATGCTGTTGAGGCTTTGAGAGGACTGTGGGTGGGGTTCCTCACTTGTCCTATCCACAGTAAAGTCTACAGTACAGTTAAAATCCCCACCTATGATTCAATGATCCTGGTGGTGATTCTTTAGCTCATTGAGTAGCAGGGTGAAGAAACCTACTCTTTCTGCTCCCTGATTTGGGGCATATAGTACAGAGTTCTTTATTTCTGCCCTTACAACCAACAGCTGACCCTTCAACACTTCAGTGGAAGATCAAACTGTTGCATTTACAGTTGCTCTGAACAGAACAGCGACCCCTACGCTGAAGTTAGTTCTTTTCATCCAATAAGTCAAACCCAACCAGTTTTTTAGTACATTGACTGATCTGATGAACTTTTCAGTATAGTTGAAATAATCACATACTCTGACAGATTTGTTAAAGTTACATTCAGAAAATCATTGATTCTGTCTAAAGAATATAGATCAGTGTTCCTGTTAGGGGTTTGACTGGATGTAGAGTCTGATTCAGTGTCATTCTCCATGTCTTCTCCTTCACATGATACCTGACTGACGCCCTGTCCTTCCTGGTTGCTCACAGTGTCTCTGTCTGCACTGATGGAAGCTTCCTCAGTGTCTGCAGACTGAGAACTACTCAGGTTCTCTGCAGCCACAGAGGCCTGTTGTTCCTCAGGGTTGCTCTGTTCTACCATAACCAAATCATTAGTGTTACAATGTGAACCAGTGGCACCGGCTGCTGCAACTGGAATACCAAGAACCGCCACATCCGCCGCACCGGGTGCAGACGCGTCGGCAGCAGGCACCGCCGCAGGCACGGATACACCAGCACCGGGTGCAGCGACGACCACCACTCCCTGCTATTTATGTGGACACGCAAAACATTTGAGTTGTCCCGAGCTGGCAAACCACCAATCACTCAACCAACACTCAACTAATGAAAAGAAAGCTCACCTGATCATGCACATAGCACAGATAGAAAATACAGCAGTGAAACCCAACGAGGGGACAGAAACCATTCAAAGTCCGCGCTGCTCACTCACACCGGAAACAGAGAGAGAGAGAGAGAGAGAGAGAGAGAGAGATCCGGTGTGTATTTGTATACAGAAGTCATGTTTAAGGCTTGCTGCTAAACAAAACGTGTGTTTTCGAGAAAGAGAAACAAACAAAGAGAAAACTAAAAACAAACAAAGAAGAGGACAGGGGAGACTAAAGCAAGTAACAGCAAACTACTGGACACTGACATCAGTAAGTTTTTGCATTTATTACTATAAAACAAGTCCCAACTGAAACACTCAAGCTAATAGCTAACAAGCTAATACTGGACTGTGGTTACCTAGTAACGGCATCAATAACAGCAGTAGTGCTGTTTTAAACACAAACACAGAACCTTGAAGATCAACAGCTGTATCATGATGTCTACACAATCTGAAACCATTGAATATCCCCCAGCTATCAAAAGCAAAACTGCGAAAGGAAAATATCAACAAACAATACTTTGAGAAAGACCAGAAATCCTATTCCTGGACCATCACAAAGGTCCTGCAATTTAATCTTCTGGACTGATTGGAACCATTCGCCTGGCTGAATGTGTTCAGATCGCATTACCCAGCAATAAAGAAAACAGGTATTTGTAGTGGATGGAAAATAAGTGTACTCGAAGAGAATGACTCTGACACCACCAGAATAACAGTAAACCTGTTCAAAAATGGAACTGCCATGATACAAGGCGACTTGAGACAGTTTGAACTCGACTTTACTGCTATGAGACTGAGTGCTGAGAAGGAAAAGGAGATCCTCACAAACATCGCTCCAGCCCTGGGAGCCAAACCCTCCTGTTCTGTCCCTGCTCCAGATAGACAGCCTGCAGATGCTGACACTGATCTTCCCTTGCTACAGCACTCTGAGGCCCTGGACATAATGAGAGAACACTTCTCCCAGATGAAAATAGAGCTGGTTCAGATCAGAGAGCAGCTGGACCAACAGCAGCCTACTTCTCCTACTGTCAGTGACTTCCAGGCCAAGAAAGAACAGAACAATGTCAACTCACAGCTGAGAGAGCTTCAACAAGAACTAGCTCGTTAGAGAACACAGCTGGATCATCTCAGTGAGGAGGTGAAGAAACTTAGGAAGGACAGAGACAACTGCAGAACTGAGTTGGCTACTCTGAGAGAAGAGCTACATGAGAGGGACAGAACAGGGCTCAGTCTACAAGCCAGACTGAACTCCACACAACCCCCTGTGCTCACCTTTCAGACCCAGACCACATCCAGCCAAACTCCCACTACACCTGAGGACTCACCCCCTCTCACCCAGCCTGGTGCAGACTCTAACCCCCCCCGTATCAACCAGCTGCCTCCATACACACATCCCAAGCCAAGACGCCAGTCACACCCCTGCACCTGTCCAAAGCCCAGCCTCTAGCCAGCCTCCAACTAGGAGCTCCAGACCTGAAACCACCACCGCAGCTCCACATCCAGACCCGACAGCTGAGACTGAACAAACACACACAGGCAGAAGGGCTGACATTATCCTCCTTATGGACTCTAATGGAAAGTTCCTGGATGAAAAGACCTTATTTCCAAGACACAGAACGGAGAAGATCTGGTGCCCCAACACCAGGAGAGCCCTGGAGCTGTTAACAGTGCCTGAGCTAGGCTCACCTAGCCACTTCATCATCCACACAGGCACCACGACTTAAGGTCCCAACAGGACAGACTGGCAGAGTCTCTGAGGAGAGTCACTGAGCAAGCTTCCACCAAATTCCCTAACAGCAAGATAGTCATATCCACACTGCTGAACAGGAGAGACTTCCACCCCCACACCATTCACAGAGTGAATATCAGCCTCTCCAGGGACTGTGCCCTCAAACCCAACGTGTTCTTGGCCCACCACCCGACTCTCCACCTGGACTGCCTGTATGATAACATACACCTACACAGAACTGCAGTCCCCACCCTTGCTAGGACCCTGAAGGATGTTGCCCTTGGAAGGAGCTTTACTACGACTCCAAGGGGTAACCACAAACGCAGACCCCACACAGACAGCCAGGACCTCCTCGACCTTCGAGACCATCCAGACCTCCACCATGCTTCCACCCCTGGCTGTCAGAGAGGACGACCAGGCCACCAAATCCACCGCATCACCAACATCACAACCCACAGCCCACCCCACAGCCAACACAACACTGGCCTCTGATACCCAGCCAGAGAGCCCCCCAGCCTGGAGGTCCTATACCCCCCCTCCTCCCAACAGCAGAACCAAGACTACAGGAGCAGCAGTCTATTGGGGTGAAATATGCTGCAGCAGTGAGAAGAACCACAGCCCCACCCCCCCTCTGGTGAACTCATAGAAATATTACACATGCTGGGTCGCCCGGATAGCTCAGTGTGTAGAGCTGGCGACCCATGTACCGAAGCTGAGTCCTGCAGCGGCCCAGGGTTCGAATCCGACCTGCAGCCCTTTGCTGCGTGTCATCCCCTCTCTCTGCCCCCCTTTCCTGTGTGTCTTCAGCTGTCACTATAATAAAGGCAACAAAAGCCCCAAAAAAAAGAAAAGAAAAAAAAAAAGAAATATTACACATGCTAAACCTGCTCTTCTCTCACCTGTGTAGCTACATGGTGGAAGAGCAGAGACTACACAATAATTAATAGTTTAGCAGGACAATTCTTAACAGTATTTCACACATGATACACTCTAAAATGTCACTCAAAGTTTAATATTTTATAAATTTACCTCTTTACGTCTTTTTTCACTTTTCATTTATTACCATTATTATTTTTCAGTATCTAGTTTATTATTATTATTTTTCTTTTAAGGTGTTTGTCTAATTTTTGAACGGATCACACTTAGAGATGAAATCGTTTACAATAACATGTTGGAATATTCAAGGTCTGTGATCATCAGCTTTTGGTTTAAATAGCAGAAATTCAGATTTTAATAGAGAGTTAAAAGACTCTGACATCATAGTTTTACAGGAGACATGGTGCAGAGAAGATGTTTCCACTGGTCGTCCTCACAGCAACACTGAGATTATTATACCATCAACAAAACATCCAACAATAACCCAGGAGGCATGATTATATGATATATATGTAAATCAGAACTGAGCCAGTCCATCACAGTTATTAAAAAAGAAGAATCTTATATGTTTTGGGGCCCTTGTGTTGTATATGTATTTACATGTTCTGTGTCCTTTTTTTTCTGACTTTGTTGATGTCCTGAGCACACTGAAGCAAATCCCTGGCAACTTGTACCAAGTTGTATGGCAATAAAGTATTGAATCTTGAATCTTGAATGTGTGCCATCTATATACCTCCATCAGAATCCCCCTACTACAACCCAGACGTTTTCTCTATTCTTGAGGAGGAAATTAACCATTATAAAACCATGTGAAATGTATTACTCTGTGGGGACTGACTGACACTATGAACACCCAGGGAGACAAACACTTACCTGGAAGCACCTGCTTCCCCCTCCCTGAATGTTCTACTAGAAAGAGCTTTGACAAGCTTACTAATACAAGTGGTATGCAGCTTTTACAGCTCTGCCGTACATTGGGTCTGTACATAGTCAACGGCAGGCTACGAGGGGACTCTCTGGGTCACTACACTTACAGCTCAGCTCTTGGCAGTAGATTATTTCATTACAGATCTAGATCCAATGTCTCTTAGAGCTTTCACAGTCAGCCCCCTCACACCCCTCTCAGACCACAGCAAAATCACAATCTATCTGAAAAGGGCCCAGTCTAACTCTGGAGCCCCTAGTGCCGGGGAACTGTTTAACAGCACATACTCATACAGATGGACCCCTGACAGCATGGGGGCGTACCAAAAGGCACTGGAAAATCAAAACATATATGATTTAACTCATTTATTTCTAACTGAAACATTTCCCCATAATAATTCCGGTGTAAATTCTGCTGTGGACAAAATCAATTCAATTTTTCATCATTTGGCTCTATTGTCTAATTTGAAAGCCTCCAAACCAAAATCTCAACAAATGAACAATAACAAATGGTTTGACACTGAATGCAAAAACCTAAGGAAAACTTTAAGGAAATTATCAAATGAAAAGCATAGAGACCCAGATAACCACAACATACGCTGTCAATATGAGGCCACTCTGAAACAATACAAGTACACCCTAAAAACAAGGAAAGAAAAACACAGCAAGAACCAGCTCTGTGAAATTGAGGAATCCCTCGAATCCAACCTGTTCTGGGAGAAATGGAACAACCTAAACAAAACCCAGCAGGATGAATTGGCGATCCAAGATGGAAATACTTGGATTAATCACTTTAGTGAATTATAAAGTAATATTACAAAAGATTATGATCAGTACAAGATATTCACGAAATGGAAAACTCTGGAGGCGGTGATAAAAAACAACCAAAACCCTCTAGATTACCCAGTAACAGAACAAGAATTAACAGAAGTCATCCAGTCCCTGAAAGGAAAAAAGGCTTGTGGTATTGATGGAATCCTCAACGAAATGATCAAATACTCAGACCATAAAATCAGATTGGCTATACTAAAACTATTCAGTACTATTCTGTCAACTGGAGCTTTTCCAGACATCTGGAACAAAGGTTTAATAACCCCAATTCATAAATCCGGAAATAAATATGATCCAAATAACTACAGAGGAATATGTGTCTCCAGTAACCTGGGAAAAATATTCTGCAACATCATTAATAAACAACTTGTCAACTTCCTGATGGCCACAATATTCTGCATAAATGCCAAAATTGCTTCTTGCCAGATTGCCGCACAACGGACCATATATTTACCCTCCAGACTTTAATTGATCAAGAATTAAAAATTAAGAAAAGAAAGGTATATGCATGTTTTGTTGACTTCAAAAAGCCTTTGATTCCATCTGGCACGAGGGCCTTTTCTATAGGCTACTTGAAAGTGGCATTGGATAAAAAACATATGATCTGATTAAGAACATGTATACAAAAAGTGAATGTGCCGTAAAGATTGGAAACAGACAAACAGCGTTCTTCTCCCAGGGCCGGGGAGTGAGGCAGGGACGCAATCTCATTTCAATTCTCTTCAATCTATATATCAATGAATTAGCGAACCAACTAGAGCGTTCCACGGCACCTGGCCTCACCCTGAACGACACAGAGATCAGAGGTCTGCTGTATGCAGATGACTTGGTGTTGCTCTCACCTACTAAAGAAGGTTTGCAGCAGCACCTTAATCTCCTGCAGAGATTTTGTCAGACCTGGGCCCTGACAGTAAACACAGCAAAGACTAAGATAATGATCTTTAAGAAATAATACAGAAATCAGGTTACACACAATTTCTATTTAGACACCACTAAATTACAACATACAAAAAACTACACTTACCTTGGCCTCAACATTACATACACAGGAAACCTCAACATGGCTGTGAAAGATCTGAGGGACAAAGCAAGGAGAGCTTTCTATGCAATAAAGAGAAACATACAAATCTATATTCCAATCGAAATCTGGCTTAATTTTCCAATTTGTACTAGAACCAATAATTCTATATGGCAGCAAAATTTGGGGACCAAAACTAAATAATACATTTGACAAATGGGACAAAACAATCATAGAATCTTTCCACACCGAGTTCTGTAAGAGCATCCTGCAGGTGCAGAGAAAAACACCAAATAATCTGTGCAGAGCAGAGCTCGGTCAATACCCCCTCCTACTAAAAATACAGAAAAGATCAATTAAATTTTACAATCACTTAAAATCAGTTAACCCCTAGTCATACCATCACAAAGCCCTAACATACCAGGAGCTGAAACCAGAGAAGAGTCCCCTCAGCCAGCTGGTCCTGAGGCTCTCTGCAGTAACATGTCCCCAACAGCCTCAGGACAGCAACGCCAACTCAATCAGACCAAACCAAATTATCAACAAGCAAAAAGAAAAATATATTGAATACTGGAAAGAAACAACCACATCACAAAGTAAATTACAATGTTATCTGGCCCTAAAAAGTGAATTCAAACTGTCAAATTACCTGAGCACAATAAAATGTCCTAAATTAAGAAAAATGTTTGCAGCAAAATATGTCTCCTCATGCCACAAACTGAGGACAACCAGTGGAAACTCAGATAAATGTATAAAATAATTGATTTTTTTTGTTGTTTTTTAATATATACACACTCTCTCTCTCTCTCACACACACACACACACACACACACACGTTTACAGTTTTATCTATCTATTTTATTTTTATTTTACTATATATTTAATAATTTGTTATTACTGTTATATTGACAACAGACTACTTGTTTTAACTGTAGTTACTTTACTACTGTTTTAATGACATTTTTAGTTGACACAAACTGATTGATTGATTGATTGTAATTAATTACTTATTGACTGAGATTGATTGATTGTGACTGTGATTGTGATTGAGTCAATCATAGTTACAGTATTACCAACAGTATACATTATAATTAATTTACTGTAAATATTGTTTTCCTTTATTGTTATTATTATTATTTTTAATTCCAAACGCTTGCTTTGGCAATATGTACAGTGTTACATCACGCCAATAAATCCATTTGAATTGAGACAGAGAGAGAGAGAGAGAGAGAGAGAGAGAGAGAGAGAGTGCTCATGGTTGAAACTGTTAGGTCTCTCTATAGTAATTGTGTAGTACTCACATGTAGCAGGGCTGGGGACCCAGGAAGGCGCTCAGGTCTGACTTTTGTCCGGTCAGCAGCTGTCGTCCTCTGATGGTCAGTTGGGTTCCTCCAGAGACTGGACCTTTATCAGGAACCAGATCCAGGAGCTGTGGGTCCTGAGAACATAAACAGGGTCAAGTTATAAAACACAGCTTCCCTCAGCTAACATTGCAAATACTATCTGAGTGGATATGTTAGTTGGCTAATGTTAGCTTCCCCAGCTAATGTGATCAATGAAACTAAAGCATGTATTCTGATAAACTGTGTTGATGTTAGCCAACAATAAATTATGTAGTGGTACAAAGCTAAGGTGTATAGCTAAAGATGTTAGCTAACATTAGCCTGCTATATGACAATATATTCCACAAGCTTTGTAATGTTAGCTTTGACTTTGAGCTCCACTTATTTACGCTGTTTCAACCCAAACTGCAGTAACGCACCCGGGACTCCAAACTGGTCTACAGTAGTCCTCTTAGTACCCCACAGTGAGGGCAGTCTGCACAGACACGTACGTACTCACTCGGACCCGCAGCAGGACGCTCTTACCTGATAGGTGAAGATCTGTTTTGACCTTCCAGGTGGAGTTGTTCCCACGGTAACCAGGACGTGACCCCGTGTCTGCTTCCCACTGGGCTGCAGCTCACACACGACCCTGGTGGAGACCTGGTATCCTTCAGGTTGAGGCAGACACTGAACACCTGCCACAGTGACTCCACCCACCACATCCTTGTACCTCATCCCC